TATATATATATACTGCAAGATTTTTATTTGCTTTAAACAGAAATTATTTAATTTATATAATTAAATTTACTAGCTATAAATTATCCTAGCACATTTTTGAAAAAAAATTTTTTATTTGGAGTATTAATTTAAAATTTATTATTTTTTTTATTAAAATTATTAATTTAAGGCTTAGTGCTAGTGCGAAAAGTTTTTTCTCTGTGTTTGCTATTTTCCAAGACAACAGAATGAAAAAATTCAATATTTTAAAATGGAAAAAAAAAAACTAACACGGGAATATTGCAATTACATCTAACGACTTCTATAATAAAAGATAAATTAAACCTAATTCAATAATAGAGATACCTGACATGTCTCTCTGATAACCATTTTCAACGTTTATAGATTTCGGAATAAACACCTTTGTATTTAGTTCAAATTTCAACAACTCTAGAAGTTTCAATTTGTCTATTTTGTTATCATTTCAACGAAATTCGTGAACCCGTGACTAAAACAGATGGTGTTTTTTTACACTTAGGGAGTGTTACGGCCCTGCACTTATGAGCATTTGTAGGTCACTATACTCGACAAGGATACTGTAATACTTGGTTCTATATCAATTCTATCTGGCACAACGTGTCAAGAATATTTAAGACTGACAAACCCTAAAGAGTATAATTATGAAGAAGAAATGAGTGAAAATAAAACATATACCAAATTTAAATTTTTATAACAGAAATTAATACGAACAAACACTTCGTAAATGAAAAAAGAAAAAAGTAGTTTGAGATGAAAATGCAAAATAAATATCGGAAAGGAATCATTATAAAACAATAATTACCTTCTCAGTAATATACTTTTCCCAGAAATTAATTAGTTTTTCATAGAAACAAGACAAGAATAAAATACCAAAACAAAGTATCTATGCTTTATTGTAGGACGTTTAATAAACATGTGAATAAGAGTCAAATCAGAACTCCTAAATGAGCGATTGCTATCCAAATATCACTTTTTTTTTCTTTTTTTTTTTACCAATGTATCTACTAAAACTAGCTAAAACAAAATTTCACTTCAAATTTACCAGAATCAATTAATAATTAAGGCCGGGATAGCCTGGTCGGTAGGGCGCTGGGCCCATATCCAAGAGGTCGTAGGTTCGATCCTCGCCGGCCGAAGACTCCCCGTGTAGTAAATGGTGACTGATGCACGTTAAATCTGTCGAGTCTCAAAGTCCTCCATGTTCCCACAACAAATCAATACCTCTGGGGGTACTGATCCAGGAGTTTCCTTGTCTTCTGGATTGGTTCAAAATTACAAGGCTACGGAGTTGAACGTAAAGTAGTCGTAAACCCATGAAATTGGGTCGACTGTTCAACGACGGTTATAAAATAAAATAAAATCAATTAATAACATTAATAGAATATAAAATATTGATGATTTGAGCAAATACTATAGACTTATAATTTTTTAAGTTGAAAACAAAACTATTTCTTTGAAATTATCGCCACCCGTACAATAAGCTGTAGTAAGCAGATATGAACTGACTAATGAAAAGACTTATTTTACGTTTGTATTTGTATATTTATTGATACTCATACATATGGGGCCATTTCTGGCCGAGCTGTCTCGTCGTACCACAAAACACTCTAATAGCGTGGATAAATAGTTTACCTATTGAAAGAACTCCCCTCGTTACGAAGTCTAAGGTCGTCTGCTGCTAAGGAAATAATAAATCGAGCATTTCAAAGAGGTGAGCTTCTTTCTCCCTTGATTACCTTTCTCATGATGACCCGAGTCAAAGTCTGTCTTAAATAATGACCCAACATCTCTACTTGAAATAGTTAAGCCTCGTAACTATATTCACCGCCATTACTCCATGCGAATAGTTGGGGAAGTTAGACAGACTATAGCTTGTTCGAATTACGCTGTAACATTAGATGTAACTTTGTGATGTCCCTTTCTAACTTGTGACGTTTGTTTTCCGTTTGATCAGAGCTTGTACGCCGTACTTTGTAAAAAGCACACAGGCCTGCATATGTGACTTCTTACAGATACGTCCAGGGTAATACCGGGATTCAAACCCTTTGCTTCCACCCTACAGAGTATTTGGCGGAACGGCAAGACCGCCAGGGAGGTTCCCGTTTACATTTGTATCGAAAACACCAGCTATGGTCTCACAGATCGTAAGACACTCTTTCCAGTAGATCACCGAAGTCAAGCATCACTGGCAGTGGTCAGTCAGCGGGCAGGTGACCCCTTTAATCAGCCTGTGAAGGGATTGGGGGATCCTCGTTAAATTTTGCCTCGTCCTTTTGCCTACGATGCTTAGCATAACAGCTGTCATTAGGATCCATCACTTTTACCAGATGTAAGTTAAACGTTAAAATTGCAAATAGGCAAAAGACTTAAGTTTGATTCAATTGCATTAAACACACATAAAAATCATAGTTTAAATGAACTATATTTGAAATTACTTCTATGTTATATGACCAGGGCTTCAAAAAAGTAACGGACGGAAAATTATTTTTTAAATCATGGCATACCTTGAAACGAATTTCCTGTGGGTTTTTTATTTAATTGAGAAAAAAAAAATTTGATTTCAAAATTTAGAAAGAAAAAAAAAGAATCTCCAAAATATGAGATGACTGAACGCCACAAATACACATATCAATAATCTTTGACTTTATTAAACCTATATGAAAATTTTTGTTTTTTCTTTGGGGGGACGGAAACAGGTTCAGGATAATTTTTAATCAATGGGGAGACATTGTCAGTCATTTCTTCAACGGAATCTTCACCAGACCTTTATTTTCCGAGGCAACAGTATTAAAAATTTCATTTTTCAAAGAAATTGATGCGTTTTGCAAAATTATGGATTAAACTTTTTAATTTTGATGGAAGAGTTTGCATTTTAATTTACTCTTTCTATAAAAATATTAGGTTACAAAGAATTGCAAAAGTGACGTTATCATTGATAACTTACTTCCAACGCATAAGAAAGAAAATAAATTATTTTTCCGAGTATAATACAAAGGAAGAAGTTTAAGGAAAACAACAATTAAGAGATCCATGGATTTGAAATGTTTAAAGAAAACACCTCCTCACAAACGCATAAGCGAAGTGAATCGGTTGATAAATAGATTCTCTAATTTTTTGAATTTGTAGGGAATTCATCCACCTTTGCATTTTCCAGTTTTGTTACGGAAACTTAAATTTCTTATAAAATATATAAATCTGAATAAATTTGTTTCAAATTTAACGAGTTCGCTTGCGGAGATTCGCTTGTTCTAGATTTATTTTTAATTTATTCAAAAACACATAATTAAAGCAGAGAAACAATATTTTCTGAAATGAAATTCCTGCACTTTTAACAGTGTCTTTCCAAATATGGGTCTATCATCATTCTTTGCCACAAAATCTAGAAAATTATTAAAAGGAAAAATCAAGTCTTATGTGGTAGTGTAAAAGTTTAGTTCTACGTTAAATTTACTATACTTGTTATGATATTCAAAGCTTTGGATAACATAAATTACTTACGAAAATGTTTTTTATTATTTTAATTTAATAATCTTAATATATTTTATTTCAAATTTTTTTTTTTTTTTNCGCTTTTTTTTTCTTTGCTAGTGCATTAATTGCAATTTATAATTTCAAGCATTTGAATTTCAGAAGGACATAAGGAAAATCAATTTTGAAGATTAAATAAACTTTCTCCTATTTATTATTAAGTTATAATTCTTTAAAAAATATAAAAAATCAGTGTTCAAAGACTGTAAAATTTGCGAGTTTTCGAATTTTCTGACACAAAGACAAAGGTAGACAGTAAATTTGCTGTACTATTTGGTATCCATAGAGTGCATTTTTATTTAAAATTGCTCTGACTCAATTTTGAATAATAAGCAGTAAAAAAAGACATTCCTGTGAAGTATTGACCTCAAGTAGTGTGAGTATGTAAAGTATTACTGATTCACAAACTACTCCGCTCAAACAAAATACAAAAAAATCGTAAGGAATTATTCTTTTATCACATCACGTGGTTAGTATTATTTAAACAGCTGCTAGGTAAGAGCGCAGATGTCGAAATTTCGCATCATTTGTGTTGTGAAATGATTAGGAAGTTATTCTGAAGAATGTGAGAATCTGATCTGACAAATCAAGGTATATCTTTTTATATATTAATTATCCTAAAAATAAACTATGCACCTCCTTACTTAACATTTTAAAGTTTATAAGTCTGAAATTTTATTAATTGACTGAACTAAGTTATATTAATTTTCCGAATTTTTATTTTATTTAGATTTTTACATATTTGCATTATTTATGTAAAAAAAAAATGATTTATTATTTTTCGATAGCTAGCTCATCTGACTTACGTTTTACGTATTAAGGTTATTAGTATGTTTAAGCTTAGCCCTTCGAACCATTGAGATTGAGTATTAACGAAAATCTGATCATTCGATCAAAAGTTATTCAGGGGGCTTCGTTTCTATCTTTTTTTTTTCACACTATGCTACTTAAATACTATTTAAATGCTTTTATATAGTTCTTTTCTTTCCCGCTTTTTTGTCAATTATTTTTAGCTGACACGATTTTACTTGATACTATGAAAATTTTTAAGTATGTTGCAGTGATTTTGTATTTACTAATTCCAGATAAAGATAGTTATTAGACAAAGTACATTAAACAAAGATACTTCATATATAACTTTAATATTTGTACTTAATAGGACGTAAATTGAAAACCTTGTAAAACAATATCGTCTGTTAACAAGTTCGTAATGTCTGTGACCAGATAGAGTAAGAGACTTGACATTTTAACGAACGAAAATTCCGTAAACTAAATAATTCTAAAAAAAATTTAAAATTTTATTTGATTTCGGCTAAAAATTAAAATCATTCAGCAGAATAAATAAATATATTTTTTAATATATATCACTAATTTTGGTAAAAGACATGACATAGTAAAAAAGCTCTGAAAAGCTTTAGTGTCATCAATCAAACATAGAACATTCGAAATAAACGAATTTCTTAGTGGGGTAACAAACATGACGTCAATTTGCAGAATGTGGTATTTAGTCACACTAAAACATGTATTTTTATTATTTATATATAATATATTTATATATTATGCTTCATATATTATGTTTTATAATGCAATTTAAAGTATTTAACCCAACTATAAAATATAACAGGGTAGAATTTTTTATTTTTGGAAAACGATTTTAAGACAAATATTTTAGGTTTTATGATTCAGAAAGTTATATTTTCAGTTTCCTAATAACTAAAATATAATTCTTTGAAATTCTATTTTTTTCCAATAATTTTTCCTAACTTGATATATAATTGTACTCTAAAATTTTTACTGATAATGCTCATAATATTAAAAAAAATCAATTAAAGTTTCAAAGCTTTCGACAAAATATATATTTATCATGCGGACATCAAAGATCCCAGAGTAATTTCCATTTTATTTAATTATTTTTTTTTATTATTTAAAAAAGCTTTAGATAAAAAATTGATGAAAAAATATGAAATATTAAATATTTATTTACAGCTATTCAGCAAATCGGCTCAGTTAATTATCAATAAAAAAAATTTCAGTAATAACAAAATTTATTTTCTCAACCTAACTATTAACAGGGTGTTCGTTAATCACCACATTTATTGCATATTTAAAATATGTTGTCAAAAATAAAGTAAAAAAACTGCACTCTAGAAGTCGCAAGTTAAAACTTAAGCGAGAAAAAATTAAATATATTAACAGCACTCGAAGAAATAAAACTTGTTTGAATACTGGGGAAACTAAGATGAGATAAAATGTTATGATTAGAAACACCTTCAAGTTTCATCTGACAATTAAACTGGTCTTGCATGTTTTTCATCCCACTTTACTCAATATTGATTTTCCAAATTTTGAAAGTGGTTTTGGTTTCTTCTTGTTTAAATATCAATTTGCGACTCTTAAAGTGAGTGCTTTTTCACTATATCTAAGAAAAAGTTTCTAAAAATATCCACTTATTTCTTTTTCTAACTTTTTTAAAGCATACAGATTTGTAATTAAATAATAATAATAATAATAATGAACAACACATTTATAATCAGTTCTTTAGTTGGGTGGAGACACATAGAAACAGTATTTATTGAGTTTTTAAGGAAGCCGTTGAAACAATAGTGAGAATTAGTCAAATATTTATTTTTACCATTTAAATCACAGTTAATAATAAAATTAATTTCCGAAATTTAATAACCGCTAACGTGAGCTGCATGTACCCAACAATGTACCAACAAAACTCTTATACAAATTATAAAAATATTTACAGAATTTGAATTAAAAAAGTTTTTCCTCTTTAAAATTTTATTTTTGTTGAATTTTTATAAACAATTATTTAAATGATCTTTTACAGGCCTCTTATTTGTCTTAAGCCCGAAAGCATGGCATCACCAATATTTACGATCATGAGACAATAATTAATGAATTAATCCTGGAGTTAATTAATTTTTGATTCTTAAGTTACTAAATTTTACATATAAAACATTTTGAAGAATTAACAGAGTATGTAAGTATAACTTAAACTTAATTATTAACCGTTTTTGTTAAGACTTCGATACATTTAGTGTGATTGTAATAATTAATTGAATGTTTCACTTTCCAAGTCCACTTTCTGAATTTTTTTAAATTTTAATGGACATGATTGAATTTTAGTTGAATGTGTTCAAAATAAACTTTAATATGCATCATAAGTGCCACTAAAAGAAAAAGAATTTTAACAATTGAGTAATTTGTTACAGAAGAATTGATTTATTTTTATTTATACTATAATAAATGTTTTATGCAGTTAATCGAAAGTGAGTCATTCAATTGCTGTAGAGCCTCGATTTAACGAAACTCGTCGGACTGGACAAGAAACGTCGTAAATAACGGAAAGTCTCTGTATCAGGGAAACGAAAAATAAACTTTAAATGCTTTCATATTTAATAATATTTTGTTTAATACCTAAATACAGTCTGAAACTTGCATAATTTATTTAGTAAATCAAGAAAACTGTAAATTATTTTAATTAAAAAAATCGATCATTTCTAAGGCATCAATTTCTCTCTCTGCATTTCATGTCATTGGAAGATAATTTTCTGTCTGTACATAGGTGCGCCCTTTCTTAGACTTAACACTAGAAAGGCGGAGCCCCTCTTATTTTTTGTTGCTCTGTAATTCGAAAAATAACTTACTGAGATTATTGAGAGTTTCTGGCTTTTCATAATTTGATACGATTTAAATAATTATTTAATCATTCATGTGTTACCCTTTCAGAAACGTATATATAAAAATAGAACCTTATATCTTGAATAGTATAAGATTCCCGACAGTGGTCAGAGTGGCCCCTAAAGTATTTAGGTAGATACCACATAGATAGGTTAGGGTATAAAGGTACCCTTTAGAAGGCATAAGGTACCCAAGATTCATTAAGAAAAAATAAACAAGAGTATTGCAACATAGCTTCAATTGTCATTTAAAGAGAAAAGGAAACTCAATTATCTGAGAAATTAACGCATACGTATAATTGAAAAACCAGTGTTCCGTTTAATAAAATATTTTAGTTAATCAAATCAGATAAAATACCCAATAGTTTCAATGATCAAGTCTATAATATGTTTGTATTAAATTAATTATAATAACATTTTAAGATTTTGGATGTCTAATTGATCTACACAAAAGCAATCTGGAAAGGGCCTAACTGGCCCTTTCAGTCTTTCTGCTGTTAACTAATATGAAACAAAAAAAAATATATTATTTTTAAAAGTATAATATGAAACAAAAGTACTATGAAAAGACAATCGGGAATTTATAATCATTACTTTTATTTTAATTAATATAAATTTTTATATTTTAATTTGAATTAATAATGAAAATCCTAATTGCGATGGTACGACGGAATTTAGAAAAGGTACTAAATTGAAACATAGCATTTCATTTACCGACTTGAATGAAATTTATCTTAATAAAACAAGAAAATAACTCACTATTGTACAATAATTATATTCAGTTTAGTTAGGGGTTATTATTATTGGTAAAGTGAATTAAAAAAATATCTTATTATTGAAAAAATTGTTTCTTATTATAATTCGTAGTGTTATTTTTTCTGGAGTGTGCCCCCTCAAACATCATGCACCTCCCACGCACCGCGAGGATGCTATTTACGCCACTGACACTAATTGAGGAATAATTTCACTTTTGTACTCATATTTTTCTGCTAAATTTTCGTAAATATTCGTTAAAAATGACTCGGAATGTCGGTATTTCTGGAAAACAACACTAATGGACACTCTAAATACCGGAACTTTTAATTATTGATAAAGGAAAAAAAACGTTAAAAGTGGAAAATCAGTATTCACAATTAACGTTAAATCCGAGTTTGATTAAGCCGTAGTTTTGATAAATGAAATTTTTCATTAGATTTCTATAGTATTTTAGACATTCAAATTCAACATGAATTGCATTTAAAAGTTTGAAAGGGTTAAAGTGTTATAAAATTTTATATATTCATTTTCCCCTTTAGACCAAATCTAATGGAAAGTATTTTGATTGCTGTTTGCTCAATATCTGTGGTAGCGTTCATTGTAGTTGGAGGGTTGTTATGCAGCAGAAGAAAGAAACCAACACTCAAAAATTCCATAGTGATAGCTGAAAGTCTACAGCCTGAAGTTTTGTGCAAATCCGTACCCTGTCAACATCCTTATTATAGAGTAATATTTGAATGTAGCAGGCAGAACATTCCAGAAAATAATCTTACAAGGGAAAAGGTATGTATTTTCATCAATTATACCCATAAATTAGCAGTCTAGTCTGCAAGGAAGGGAAAAAATACCACTTAAGCAGAAGTTCCCTGTTATTATAGAATCTGTTGGTTAATCTATTGAGAAAAAAAAAAAAGAAAACACACATTTTACTTTTATTGAAAAAAAAATTCTAAATTCATCTAAATGCATGACCGTTTGAGGGCCACATTGCAAAGAAAACAAATTTGCTGGGCAACTCATACATTATTTTTTCAACAAATTGAAATTTAAATTAACTCTATGTGGTTTGATTAAAATAAATAAACATTTTATAATTAATTTTTCTTAATTTGAATTAGATATGTATTGGTACATATTTATTTTAAATTTGCGAAAGTTTCGTTTCATTTAGGTTAGATTTCAAAAATATGGGGAAATTTTAAATTAATGAGATGAATGAATTTGCTTTTGTTGAACAAGCAAATCGAAATCGGGGTTCAACAGGAGAGGTTCCAATTCTTAGTGCATTTTCAAGATATTTGTCAGTGATCTTTGACCCATTTCTGTTCTTTGTATGCTTCATTCTTGAAAATAATTGCTCACAAATATACTGCCAAAAGCTGAAGACATTAATAAAGCCCCCCATGATTGTGAAAATTAGAATATTTATAGCGGGGTAGGTAATCTTAATAAAACTCCAGTAAAAGAACATTCCCAAATTTTTCTTTCATTTGAATGTCACTTTGCAGTTCAATGCATTTCATTTGAAGATTTAAAAGTAATTTATTTATTTCTAGAGAAAATGGGTTCGAAAATATGTTGAAATACTCGTCATTTTTTTCAAAAATCTTGAAATTTACTTTCAAACTCTTGAATTAAATAAAAAATTAACGCAGCATATTTAATGCAACTCACAGGTTTCTGTCGAGCTAAAAGTATTGAAATGTGTCAAATCTTTTACTTTTATTTGATTGTGTCAAAATTTCAACTTTCTTTCAAAAGCTGTTATTGTGTGGAACATATAATGACTATGTATTCATACCTATTTTAAGAAATTGATACAAGAATTAGGAAATTGAAATACAATGCAATATACTGCAAACAAATATTGTAATTCTTCAAAAATTTCGCCGTTAAAATCTCAAGTTCTAACTTGTATTTTCGAGAAAAAATCCTTCCCCGGTTTATGTTCAGGTTCTGGTTTTCATATTTAAAAATTAATAAACGTAAACCAGAACCTTTCCGTTGAGCTCTAAGATGTTTATTATTTAATTTTTTTTTAGAAAATAAGTGTCAACGAATCGATTATATATGAAAAATGTTGAAAACATTTATTTGTTTAATAAAAATGAGTAAACTTAAATATTTTCATAATTCGCATTTCAAAAGCTTTTGGGCCGCACTTTAGACAAACATGTTCTAGATGATAAAAGATAATTTGTTTAACTAATTTCAAAACTATATTTACCGCACATGGTGAATTGAGAACTGTGAAATCCATTTAAAAAAAACATTTCTTTTGGAAAATATTAAAGCGGAATTAAAACTATACCATTCCCCCATTTAAGGGCAGGTCAGCTATTACAAGATTGATTGTTTTAATAAAAAAAATTCTAGAAGGGGCCTAGATTTGGTGGAAGATATTAATTTCCAGGTAGCATGAGACAGTGCGAAAGAAAAGAAAACATTCCTATTACCCCTCTGGTCCCACGGTTGCAAGAAATATTATGAATAAGAAAACATTTGTTATAACATGGCGTATAGTTTATCAGTTGATTTTTTTTTAAGAAGTCATTAAAGTTTTTCTATTTTTTTATTTTTCATGCAAGTGGTGTTCTTAGATTGTTCAAATTCAACTGTATTTTTCTAAGAAATAACTGCATGAGAGCTTGTATATGATTGATTCTGTTTGCAACTAAATTACAGAAAACCAACTTAAATATTACACAATATTTTTTACTTTATTTTACACAATATTTTTTACTTCATTTTATTTTTAGAATAACGATAGAAATACAAATGATTTCAATGAAACTGAGTGGTTTAAGAACCTCCATTTAACAAGCATTCCTCGGAAAACTAGAAGTGATAGTATGAACTCCAGAAGATCAAGTTTAGCTGAGCATGTTGGAACCCATTCTAAAAATAGAACTTTCTCTACCAGTTTGAATCAGTGTGTGTAAATATATTGATGTCCTGCTCTGCCGTGCAATAGAAAAATCGGCATAACTGACAAAAAATTCAAACTAAATATTTTTATATATTTGGTATTTTTGTGTTGATAAGCTACGTATTACAACGCAAAAAAAAATCAAAAATTATTTTTTTAATCAATTTTCTGAAATTCTATTGGAAGGCAATGGAAGAAGATAGTTAACAAGCTGCTTTGCTTGAAATCTATTGTGAAGCATTTACGTCGTTTTTTCAATTGCATGGCAGTGTAATAAATATATTATTATGAGGAAACTATTTCGATGTGAAGTTTTTTAATAAAATGTTAAATTCTTTAACAAATATGTATAGTTAGATTTTCATTATGATAAAATCAGCAATTATTTCAAGACAATAACTTGTGATCATATACATGTAGATACAAGGTGTTCTATATTAACAATCTCTTATACATATTTTTAAAATCTTTTTTTTTTAATTAAGCTTAACAACTAAGGGTTGCAAATTAATATTTAAATCAGAAATTAATATATTTTCAAATTAGATGAGACTTCCGTATCGTGATCTGTGGCAGATCAATCGCCAACGCCAAGTCTTGGTAACTTCCGGACAGCGGACAGCGAGAAACTAAAAATAACACCATAGAAAGAGACCAACTCGAAAGGTATAACTCGCAACCACCCCCGGGAAACATCTACATGTTCTTTTTTTTTGAAAAATTCTCAAGTTTAAAATCCATTTGGCACCTTGGCGATTGTAGTTGGCGCCCAGATCACGATACGGGAATATCTCCCAAGTAGAAACCACCAGGCAGACCTATAGAAGTTTTTTGTTTTTTTATTTGTAACTTTAAAATCCATTTGCCGTCTTGGCGATTGTAGTTAACGTGATAGATCACAATTTTGAAATATCCCCGATAAACAAAATAAGAAAAGAATTTACAAATCATAAAATTGTGGTCAATAGGAAATCATAATAAGATCTAATTAAAGGAGNGTATTACTAACAGTTATGAAGTCTACTTTCCAAAGTAAAAATGTCGGATTTGACTCTTAATAAATAGTGGAAGGTATAGATACAAATAAATTTAATACTACCAGGACTCTATATTTTCTGAAAAATCTAGGAAAATTGGCAGCCCTAAAATCTGCATAGTTAAGTTTAAGAAGTAAAACCTATTATAATTTAACTAATTTACAATACTGTTAAAAATAATTAGGCCAGTTTTTGCTCTATTATGTCTGAAAGGGTCACTATTTGAATTACTTTAAATATAACATATGACCATGTATTTCCGTTTCGTGATCTGTAGTAGAATAATCGCCATGTCTGGGCAACTTCCGGGCAGTGGCCAGCGAGAAACTAAACAGAAACATCACAGAAAGGGACCAACTCGAAAGGTATAATTCGCAACCACCCCCAGGAAAACATCTAAATGTTCTTTTTTTAAAAAAATTCTCAAGTTTAAAATCCATTTGGCACCTTGGCGATTGTAGTTGGCGCCAAGATCACGATACGGGAATATCTCCCACGTAGAAACCACCAGGCAGACCTATAGAAGTTTTTTGTTTTTTTATTTGTAAGTTTAAAATCCATTTGCCGTCTTGGCGATTGTAGTTGACGTGATAGATTTGGAAATATCCCCGATAAACAAAATAAGAAAAGAATTTACAAATCATAAAATTGTGATCAATAGGAAATCATAATAAGATCTAATTAAAAGAGCCCAATGTAGTTTTTGGCTGGAAAAAATCTAATTCCATAGTTTCATAAGTCCCACAGTGGACTGATCGTTAAGACACGGTTCCCAGCAGATCACCGAAGTCAAGCATCACTGGCGGGTGTGGAAGTCAGTGTGCGGGTGGGTGACCACTTGGATAAGTCTGCGTAGGGACCGAGGGTGTGCGGTATTGGTCCTCGTTAAACTATGCTACCGTAAAGTGCTCGACTTCGCGTGCAGGTCGTCTGGCTACCGAAACGGAGGCGCCACCCCCTCTGCAGAGGATCAAAATTGTGATGGCATGTCTTCGGATCATCCTCCGGGATGTTTCCATTTGTGCAGCTCTAGTGCGACGTAAAATAACAACAACAAATAATTTCATACAATTTATTTGGGAGTAGTTTTCTTTTTTAGAAATTTTGGATCGAGCAGTTTTTAATTTTCAAAGCAAAAAAAGGATAAAAAAAATTAACTGAAACATATTAATTTAGTCTAAAACTAACAGGATTTACTTACGAAAGCAATTCTGTTAAAAGCAGCTGTTTATATAATTAAAAACAAAATATAGTAATAAAACATCATTTTCCTGCTGCTTATTGGTTATTGCAATTATATAAATTTTCAGGCTTGTGTGCTCAAAATAAGCTTATAAACCTTCGTCAAGTAGAGGAGGACAGATAGCACAATAGGAGAGACAGCACCAAGTAGTACCCTCCTGCTGCTTATTTCTCCAAAGTCCTTTTCTTTAATAATTGAAGTAGACTGATAAGCCCAGAATAATTATTTTTTTTAAAAGCTGTTCCATAAATTAAGCAAAAATAAGCCAGCAGTGGCTTTCTAACCGAAAATACATAGAATCAAGTGACAACGCTCCATCTTCGGCAGAGACATGTGATACAAGACGAACAACTCACTTCCGTTTGGTTTCTTAATTTGATAGATGATTGCTACACTCCGATGGTGGCGCTAGAAACAAGACAAGTCTCGATTATCGCGAAATTTTTCAACATTTAGCAAGGCTATCAAAGACTCCCACTGCCTAATTTCTTCATTCAACAAACATTTAAATAACGTAAGAACTAAATATTCTAATGGGTATATTATCAATACTTTTTAAAAATACCATGTCAAGTTCTATTTTATTTATTTGTCATTTTTTTATTGTACGAGGAATTTAAAGTTGATAAAAATCGAGCCTACAAACCTAGAGGCTGGGGATTCAATCACTAGTGGTACACGGGACCATTTATTTCACACTATCTTTTAAAGAATATTTCAAACTTATAACTCAAGTATTACACACCTATTTCATGTTTATACATTTATTTAAATTTTTCATTGAAAATTTACTTAGTAATATATTTGAAAAAATGCATTTAATTTAAATTTTTATAACAAATATCATAGAATAATTTTAAATCAAACATTTTTTTACGTATATTATTCAGTACTTATGATGTAATTTAATTTTGAATTTACAACTGCTGTTTATTTTCGTAATTTAATAAAATGAAAAATAATTTCATAAAAACAAATTTAATAAAATTTAATAATGACTTATCCTAGTAAAACAATCGTATTGTATCCAATTGCATTTCATAATTTATCCATCATGTTATGTTTTACTTTTATTCATTTATTTTTTAGTCAAAGGAATCCAGTTTTAATTAATTATTTTATTAATGAACGAATTTTTTATAAATATGTATTATTCACAGTTTTGCTTTGTAATAATAGGTTTCAATATTTTACCTAAATCAGAGTAATATAACACATTTGAATGCGAATTATAATGAGACGATATTCAATTGATGAATTTCAAAATTATTACTATTGAAATATTTTTGTTTTTCCAGGCATTTTTTAAAATTAAAGTATAAAATTTTCTCTCCCATATTTGCTTTGTAAAAAATGGTGGTAGATACTTACGAAAAGAAGAGTAAGTAAAACTTATTTCTCTTATCTCAAATAAAGAATTTATTTTGAAATTTCTAATTAAAAAAAAATGAGATTTTCCTTTAATATTCTGTTCCTTTTTCCCTTCTTTCTCTCTCTCTCTCTCTCTCTTATAAAAAAAAACCATTTCAATGATGATAGAGTTACAAAAAAGGTAATTTTTACGTTCGATACTCTTTAAAGGTACGGTTCACTACTTTTATTTACGTCGCAGTAGAGTTGCACAATAGGCTATAGTTGATGGTCTGTAAACGATCCTCAGAATGATCCGGAGACTACATGCATATGTTATATCCTGTTTTACAGGAAGGACATAATAACACACCATCCATTTATCCTTAGAATGTAATTTTGACCTGAACCAGAACCATAGCACGATGCAATCTCCGATCCAGTACCCCCAGAAATTTTGATTTATTCTGGGAACTTGGAAGACTTACTGACCCTAACAGATTTAGAGTGTATCAGTCACCATTTCGTACACGGGGAGTCATCGGCCGACGGGATAATCGAACTTACGATTTCTCGGACACGGTCCTAACGCCCTACCACTCAGGCTATCCCAGCCATATACTCTTTGAAGAAAAAAAAAGAATCTTATATTTAATAATTGTCACTAGATGACAGTATCATCACGAGCAGGCTTTTTCATGTCAATCATACAGACAAGGGCACGTTCCAATATTCGCACCGGTGTAACCGGTTACACTGGTAGAAGAGATGCATTTTCTCCTACTCCCCTTTGGTCTTAATCATAAAACTCACTAGATGGCGGGTCAAGCGTTGACTAACGAAATTGTAACCCGAATGGTTTCAACTGAGCGTAGATAATCAACTGAATCAGTTGAAATCAGTGCCATNGGTGATCTGCTGAGAACCGTGTCTTAACGATCAGTCCACTGCGGGACTCCTAACGCCCTACCAGTCAGGCTATCCCAGCCATATACTCTTTGAAGAAAAAAAAGCATCTTATATTTAATAATTGTCACTAGATGACAGTATCATCACGAGCAGGCTTTTTCATGTCAATCATACAGACAAGAAGAGATGCATTTTCTCCTACTCCCCTTTGGTCTTAATCATAAAACTCACTAGATGGCGGGTCAAGCGTTGGCTAACGAAATTGTAACCCGAATGGTTTCAACTGAGCGTAGATAATCAACTGAATCAGTTGAAATCAGTGCCATTTTATATTACATTTTATAAATACTGAATAAACTCGTTGATTTGTTTCTCCGCGATTTGATTAATGGCAACCTGATGTCGTCTGGATTTGTTTTGGATCTGTCTTGGGGTTTCGTTAACAGGTTGTTAACCTCTGACTCAAGAAACTACATGTGAAGTCTGGGGTATTTCTTATCGTTTTGTTATGATAAAAAAATATTTTTAAAATTCTTAATTATGATGGACGAAGCTAAATCTTACCTGGGACTTGATTTCAGTACTCAGCAGGTATTATTTTTTATGTATCATCTTTAAGAAATTAAAAATTTTAAGTTTCATTTATTGTATTCAAAGTTCTTGATTATAATTTTTAAATGCATTATTCCTTAAATTTCTATGTATTGTTCTTGCATTTCTGCTTTATCCTTACTATAATGTGTTTCTTAAATTCTTAGTGCTGTCTTAATATAAAATGTACTGAAGGAAGTACTTTTACTGCTTTGTTGTTCTCTGCTGTTAACCTACTAATATTCACTTCGTTGACTATTACATTGCTGTTATTTCTGTATCGTAATCTGTCACGCCAGTTACAATCACCAAGGCGCCAAATGGATTTCAAACTTCGTTCATAATACCGTTTAAAATTTAAATAAACTTAATTTGTAAAAATATTTGTATACAGTTGACTCTCAATATAGTGACCCCAGTAGTCCAAGCAAAACTGGACGTTATAACATGAGATTGCTGTTTCATGACTACATAAAATTAAGGAAAATATTTACTTATATTTCATAAATACTTGACTTATTTTGGCAAAAATATGCTACACTTTACTGATTAATATGCAGTTTCTTATGTCAATAAAGTACAAGTATTTATTATAACACATTAGAAGTTAAAAATACTTTAAATTTTTTTTCAAATTATATCTTTTATTATTGTGTATTGAATTAAGTCTGTAATTCAGTGCTTTTTGTAGATTTTTAATTTTGCTTCACAAGAAGGTTGTCATGAAATAAGAAAACTTTATGCTTCTCCCTTAAAAATTAAATCACTTTTTTTAAAATTAAATCATAAAAAAAATTAAATCACTTTTGTAAACAATAGTTNCTTCGTTCATAATACCGTTTAAAATTTAAATAAACTTAATTTGTAAAAATATTTGTATACAGTTGACTCTCAATATAGTGACCCCAGTAGTCCAAGCAAAACTGGACGTTATAACGTGAGAGTGCTGTTTCATGACTACATAAAATTAAGGAAAATAAATCACTTTTTTTAAAATTAAATCACTTTTACAAACAAAGTGCTTTTTTTAAACCTTATTAATTGCGAATAATTATTTACCTTTAAAATTTTTAATTTCTGCTCTTAGTGGTACACTGATTATGAGTAGCCACTTTCTCTAAATAACATATGTTCAGAGAACTAAGCGGAACTAAAATCAAGAAGAATGCTAATTATACCATGCATTTTAACTCCAAAATAAATCACCCCTTTCAACACCAAAAAGAGTGAATGAAATTTTCAAAGAAGAAAAATATGATCAATGAATACATTGTACCTCTTGAATGGTTATGATTATACAGGAAACTCTGATTTCTGAATCTCGGTACAATAAGTATACACTTTAAATTCTTTAATGGTAAGTAATTTATATTTCAAAATTCTTTTGACCATAGATAACACCAAGACCTCCTAGGTTAAGAATAGGTGATCCTGTCGCTCTTCATGCATTCATAGAGATTTCAAGATGTTTAATATTTATTGAAGCTACAAAATTTGGTATGCGGTAACATTTTTTGGTTTTCATCACCATTTTGCAAAGTTATAAGATAAATAAGCTGTCACCTCAGGCATTTTTTCTCCCCGCAGGTTATTTTTAATTAATGACATGCTCTGAGTTTTATTTTGAAAGCTTGTATTTTTTTTTCTCTAATTATTTTGGCTTATTTAATCAAATAGTATCTTAACAAAAGAATAATATATGTTGGCAGTTTTCAAAACTTTTGGACCAATGTGTCTTCTTTAGGAGATATATGTATGTTGCATATCAAGTGTATCAAGACATTTTTAAACTAAATACCTGCCCACTTTTAAGAATTTCAAAGAAAAATGGAAAGTTATAAAATTAGCAGTCCCTGTATATCCGATTATAAATGATGTTGTACACCTTGAAATAATTGCTAGAGATGGCAATGAAGATCAAGTTAATGAAGAATTATGCAGACTCTGACTTGGACAACTAAGGTATAGGATATTCTTACTTCATTTATAAAGTATTTAGAAAAGGAAACTAGTATTAATATAAGATAAATTATTTTATATAACTACTGATGTAATGGTTAGCAAGGAAAGAAGATTTGTCAAATTTAAAAATCATAGTATTAAACTTCCATGATATAATATATGGAGAATTTACTTGCTAAAATTTAGTCACTCTGCTTCATTTCCGAAATGAACACTGTTGTTAAAATAGTTAATTTAACCTTATTCTTCATTAATACACAGGCAAATAAAAACTCTTTTAAAAGAAATAGAAAGATAATATATATATCCTTTTACACGTTCATGTCCATTGGTTTAGTTGAGGTAATATCTTCAATAAGTTTTTGTAATGCGAAAAACAGGCAACGGAGTAATGATTTTCTTAGTGAGAAAAAAGCTATGTACTATCTATATTATAAGTTTCAATTTTTTATTTAACTGTATGGAAAAAAATGCTTACATTTTGTGTTTATTATTTTAATAAATTTATTTGAAAGATACCTGATGCATAATGTATGTATAATTTTAATTTTTTATTAAAGTAAAGTTGATCTTATCTTGTCTAAAAGTTATATATTATATTGTTTATTTTTTTATTTATTTCTCTCCTTAAATGGTACTTAATTAATATACAGTGGAACCCGCTTAAAAAGTTCCCTTTTAAGAAGTTTTCCCGCGCAAGAAGTTATTTTTTAAAAAAANTAAGTTTTCCCGTTTAATAAGTCGTTTCTTTCCACTCCCTTGAAAAACTTCTTAAACGGGTTCTACTGTATTATAATACTCTCAATCTATATTCATTACCTCTTCTCTGTAACTCTTATTGTTTCAAATATTTTTTACTGTGTGGCATCCTTGTCTATAACAATCAAATGGGCACTGCACTATGTTATTTTTTAGTTTCTTGCATGCCGTTGCCTAATTACTATTAAAATGTGACAAGGATTTAGATGCAGCATCCTGACTGGAAATTTTCCCAGCTCTATAAAGAGATAGAGAAAACTGTAGAGTTATCTTAAAAATTTATTAACTTATGTGACTATTTATATTATACTTTAAAGAAAGAGTGAATGATGTACTTTTAATTTGTTTTTAGCTGAAAGCTATAGTGGTAAATGATGAATTGCAAGTTACACATCAATCTGCTGTAAATTTTGATTTAGACCTTCCAGAATTCAGGTACTTTTATTTTCACTGTAATTTTATTCTTTGTAACTTTGCATTTACATTAAAAGGATCATATTGAAGCTTCAATTCATTTTATAAAGAAAAATATTAGAGTTTAAGCTGAAAACATAAGTGATTCACAAACTGATAAAGATGGGACTATCAGAAACGCATAGCTTTTAAATAAAATTCAAGCATTCTAAAACAAAGGAATAAAAATCCAGCTGCTCATAAGCAGGCATAGATACTTTTATAAGAATTAAGCTGGCATGTTCACATTTTTTAATGACTTATGAATGCAATTTAAAAATAATTTTTTTTTATTTTTTTCTTAATAGAAAGGTCTTAGTTTTGCATAAGAATTTTACTCTTAAAAATAGTGCAATTTACCTCACTTGCATTTATCCTAATTGTAATAAATTTTTCTACTTAAAAAGTTTTAATATTCCTCATGTCTATTAGTTGTTAAATCATAATTTAAAATTTTAGTAAACATAAACATTTTTAATTGTATATAATATAGCAGTAGTAGCAGCCTAGAAAATTTAGGCAAGATAGTGATTAAAAGTTTTGATACAAGAGAAATAGCATATTTAAGTTTAGTCTCTTAAACCATTCTTTGTGCCTTTAAGTTGAGGTCATGCTTAGATATTTTTTTGTCAGCATGTGTACTTTTATCATTGTTCACTCCTGGTTAAAATGACAACAAAAAACACATTTCAAAAGTATGTCAGTTGCATGAAATTTTTTGAAACACCATAATTTAAAAAGAAAAAACGCTTTTGCTTCATATAGCTTTTGATATTTTTTTTTGCCTGAATATTTTTCAATTTTTATTTATAATAATGTTTCCTTTTTAGGACTCATGGTGGTGTTATAGCTCATGAGGATAAATTGTCTGTATGTGCCCCAACAATAATGTGGGTAAAAGCATTAGATATGCTTCTGGAGCGATTAAAACTCGAAGGATTAGATTTTTCAACTGTGGTGTCATTATCAGGGGCTGCTCAGGTAAATTCAATGCTAATTTTACTATTTGTGAAGATAGTTGAAGTTTATTTCAATTATTCTAGATTTAATATAGAATGATTTATTAGACGTAAACTATTAAACATTAGAACAACATTAACTGTATATTGACTTCACAAAACTATTATTTAAATTTGCTAAGCATTTCCTTATAAAAGAAATATCAGATTCATATCAACTTTTTAGCCTGGACAACAGTTTTGCAACTACTCAGTCAAAATTTCCCCAAAGTCTCTCTCCCAAAATATAATTACATAAAAATAACTCACTTAACATGGTATTCAGAAGTTATGTATATACAGAAGAGAACCAATTAACCGGGATGCTCGGGACCATCGCTATCCCGGATGTCTGAATTTCCCGGTTTTCTGGATAAGTCAAAAGTGCCGTTAATCGATGTTTTAATCAAACCCAAATAACAAGGAAAAAGTTACACATATTTAAAAATAGGGAAAAAACTAAAAGATCTCCTAAATTAAAAAAATGGTAGAAAAATAACATTTAAAAGGATAAAAACATTTGCAAATTTAGACAAGAAAAACAAGTTTAAAAAATACAAAATTTGCATATTTATTTTTTGATAATAATTAAAATCCCCAAATTAACTAAAATAAAACAAAACCAATAATTAAAAGACGAAATATATTTCATACCTAATTATACTGGCGGGGGGAGGATGAAAAGAAAACTTATTAATCTAAATAAAAACAACACTTGAAAATTATGGAACGTAAACGATATTTAAAAAAGGCACTTACATAAGTATTAAAATCTCGAAGAGACAGGATATAAGATAAACGGAATTTAAAAAAAACTTAATGATAAAATTTATGAATGAAAATAATTAATTTATTGAGTACGAAATTTATCCTAAAAGAAAAAAAAAATGCAGTGGAATCAGAAAAACGGAATCAAAATTTTTAAAAAAGAAAAAGAAAAAAACTGCTATCTTCTTTATAAATTAATCGCTTGCTTTTATTAACAAATAATTATATGCTTAAATTAATAAGCAATCTTCTCCTTTTAGTTTATTTTTTTATTAAAGGACTATTTTTAACGAAAGCAGATGTGATTGCACATCAAGAAAAACTTGCTAATGATATCGCATTTATAAGAAATCAGAATTTATTCAACAAAAAAATATTGTTTTGTTAATTGATGTCAAATGGATGAATATAACTGGTGATTAAATAATGCATTATCCGAAATAATAAAACAATTCACCATAATAAATAACAAAACTGAGTAACTAAAGGGGATGATTTAAAATAAATCTCACATTTCACCTTTAAAATCAATACTCTTAGCCAGATGTTTCAAGTTCCTTAACTCATTCATTGCTATGCCTATGCAATGCATTTTCCCCACCCCCTCGTAAATCAAAGAGAAAACGAAATCAGCTTGCCACTCCTTTAAGTTTGATTGATGGCAGCTTATCAGAAAAAGAAAATAAACACAGGAGAAAATAAAACATTTGTCCCCTCCCTGCCCCCTCTGGATCTAATGATCTTCAAGGTCATGGGAAGAATTGAAGTTCCTCTGGGCAAGTGAGGAGAAGAATTCCCCCCTTTCCCTCTACTCAACTTTAAGGATGAGTCAAATTTCCGCTTTTTTTAATTTTTTTTTTTATAATCGTTATAGTACTTTAAAATAGCGGGAAAACCAAGCAAAATTCTTCCCGGTTATCTGGATAACGGATAAATGGTTCTCTACTGTATTATGTTTTAAACCATACAATTTTCCCATGGGCATAATTTCTAATTTTTTAGAATTTATCATCTAATCCAAAATTTCTCTATGGATACAATGGATACCCAATACTATTTTGAAGGGAAAAAGTTTTATTCAGATGTCCAGCATCTTTATAAAAGTTTCCATTAGCAATGTGTAGCTTATAATTTCAACGGCAGTTACTTAATAACTTTATCCATATCAAACTAATATTCTTTGACAAAATTACTGCTACTTTTCATAAACACTTCAGTCAATCAGACTTGAAAAACTTCAAGTAACAATAACATTTAATGTCATCAAAATTCATAAATTAAATCTCTTTAAAAAATACTATGTAGAAATATAAAACATCAAAATAAAGATAAACATCATTAACATGTCTTTTTAGTTTTATTTAGCAAATATCATTTTTCTTAAGAAATGTGATTAATTAAAAGTTGAATTACAATTTGATACATAAATTTGATTGTAAAATGATTGATTATAAAAACAAAAATGGATGCATGACAGTTATATCACATGACAGTTATTTATTTATAACTCTATAACATTGCAGATTACTTTTTGTCCTAGGTTGTAAAAGTTATGTTTATTCAATCTTTCTCTAATATTTTATGGTTTACATATATTTATGATTTCTGGAATTGTATTTCCATTTTTTTATACTTAATTTATTTTTTACTCCTATTATTAAATATCCTATAATTTAGTGCCTTAAACATCTATATATCAAAAACATAAACTTCTGTTAAAAGATGCATTGAAACTCATATATCATACTTGCCTTATCTCTCTTGGTTATTTTTTGTTATTTAATTAGCAACATGGAAGTGTGTACTGGAAGCGGGGAGCTGAAGAGATACTCAGCAAAACATCTCCTGAAAAATTCTTGCATGAACAACTTCAGGTATGACTTTATTACATATTTTTTATATTTATGTTCATGACTTACATGGCAGTTTTTCATAGTGTGAATGAGAAAAAAGTTATTTAAGTTTTTTTTAGTAAGTGTTATTCTAACCAGTCAAATAATATGAGCTATAAAACCTTTAAAAAAATTTTAGTTGAAATTTTTCATTTCTCAAAAACTATTTGACCAATTACCCTTCCTTTGAATTTCGGGTCTTGTTATTTAAAGCATTATTATTGAAAATTATACAAAAAATGCATACCATTCTATACCAAAATTTTATGATCAAATAATAAATAGTTATATAGAAATGAAACTACTTTTGGACAAGTTTTACAGTTGTGACCAAAAGTTTTTTTAATTTCTTCAAGAAAGTTTCTTTAATTTCTTCTGAAAGAATTCCTGAGATGTGAATTAAATATTAAGAGAAGGGAAATTTTTATCATAAATAAATAATTATTATCATATTTTCAACTCTATAAATTATTAAGCTATCAAAACTAAACTTTTTCAAATAGAAGCAGCATTTTCATCTTTAGAAGTTCAAAAAAATAATATTCTATTGCATTAAGATTTTCTACTAAGCAAGATTAACAAAATATATTATCATTAATTGAAATTTTGCAAGAGTTATATTGAACTAAACCAAATTAAATGGATAAAATTTAAATTTAAGTAATAAGCAGAGAATCACATTATAGATAGTAAATAGGCTCTGAAATCATATTTTATGCTTAAGAGGCCCTGCCCTAGAAAAATATGAGCTTACTCAAAGAGGTAGACAAAATCGAAAAATTTTTTGAGATAAAATTTTGATTACATCAAATAAACTTAATAATGTAAAAAATTATAAAATTTCTGTTTAATAAAAATTCTGCAGTTTAGTGTTAGGAAAGGAAAATTTATTTCTTTTCTTAAAAACATTTACTTGAGGATAAGTTAGATCAAGTAAGAAAATCAGAGGAATAATTACAGTTAATAGATCAGGATTAATTTTTTGTAAATTTTGAACTTGCTAGAAAATTTAGATAATTAAAAGTAATAAAAGCACATATAAAATGAAAAGTATTACAAATTTAAATTACTTGTTTTAAAGAAATGCAAAAAATAAAGCAAACCAATATGCAAATATTTAGTTTAAAAATAAATTGCTGAAGCCAGTGGGTTACAAAAAATTTTTTAGCATTTAATTATTTTAATCAGTGTATAATGAACTAAAATGCATTCATTACATATTTTTAGAAAACAACAATTATATAAACAAATCATTTAAAATTAAGAAAATATCTTGCAATAAACTATTTATTTCATGAAGCTTAAATGCTCTATTTTTCCATTTAGGGATGTTTTAGTTTAAGAGATTCGCCTGTGTGGATGGATTCCAGTACTGGTACTCAATGTTCTGAATTAGAATTAGCAGTTGGAGGACCGTTAGCTTTGGCAAAGTTAACAGGTTCTCGTGCTTTTGAGAGATTTACTGGAAACCAAATTGCTAAACTTTTTCAAACAAGGCCTGATGCTTATAACAATACTGAAGTAGGGTTATTTCTCTTAGTTTTCTAGTTGCTTAATTTATGATAAAAAATTTTAAAAGCTATGATACAATGCATGTTGTTAGAAGTCTGAAAGATAAACTCGATTTGTTATATTTTTTTCATAATTAAAAGGTTTTTTATTTAATATAAAAAAAATTTGAGTATGATTGTAATGCAGTTTTTACTTCGAAAAAAATAATTATTTCAATTAAAAAATTTTTTGAAAAAGACAATATTTTCAACTTTATAGTACATTTTTATGGATTCACAGTAATTATTTTTGTTAGAAACAGTGTAATGCAGAAATTTTGTAATAATTTTAAATGCAGAAATATAAGGAAGAGAATATAATATGCCGAAATATAATAAATAATATATATGCATGATCTTGGGAAACATACTCGATAATAATATTGTGTGTTTTAAGCTTTTATATTCTAGTTTTATCCCATTGTTTGATTTGTGAATTTCGCTCACAATTAGGACTGGGCGATATTAGAAATTATATATCGTGATATATCGTCAGTTTTGCATCGCGATATAGTCTGTTTGAATTTCATTTACTTTAAGGCACAGAAAGTCAGATTTCTATCAAGACTTCATACGCATATTGATTTAAATCAATTTATTAATTTGAAAATATATATGTTTTGCTAAAGACAGATATTAAATAAATTGACTAAGATGTACAAATCTTACTTAAAATATTTATTGAAAAAATGTGTGTAGATACACAATGAAATATTTGCACTTCTTTATCGTTTATAAGGTATAAGCAGTCTTAATTTAAGTTAACCCCTAAAACACCCTTAATGAAAAAAAATATTGTTATTAAACAAAAGCTGATTTTAAAATTTCAAAATATATTTTAATTAAAATAAAAGTTAGATTGACTAAAAGCCAAAGTTTAAAATTAAAAAATGTTCGAAAAAAAGTTTGTTAAGAAATTCATTATACACTTAAAACAAAGTGTTAAAAATATTATTTTTTTTTTAAAAAAAGAAACTTTTTTTAACAAATCAATATTTGCTTGTACTATTATGTGTAAATAATTAGAGAATTATTAAGTTCGATCGTAATGTTCAAATTCTTAATGAAGAAGTAAACACAAGTTTTGTTATATTTTCTAAAAATGATCACGCAAATAACAAAAGATTTCTTAGTTTAAAAATAAAAAAATAAATAAAAGTGAAATTTATCAAAATATTTACCTAACAGCATAGGAACAAAATTTAAAAAATAAGTTCGTTAAAAAATTATTTGTATGCTTAAAACAAAGAGCTAAATAAATTTTAGAAAAAAAATAATTCTTAAACACTATTTTTATTATTATTTCATATAAATAATTAAATTAAATTAAATAATGACCGAATTATGAACGAAAAACAAAGTAAGGCAAAGTTTCTTAATTAAATTCTTAAAAATAAAAACAAAAGAATTGTGATATTCGGTAATATATTTAGCTAATTAACTAATAATATAAAACGAAAATTAAAAAAAAATAATGATTTTACTCTCTAATAAAACGAAGTAGTAATTAAAAAAAAAAAAAAAAGAAATGAATAAAATTCGCAAACTTTTCAAATTCTTTTGAACAAATAAAGTTTATTGACTTATGTCCAAAAAATAAGTTTTGTTTTAACTTTATTTCTAAAAATAAAAACAACTCAAGATTTATAAATTTAAAATCAGTAATAGAAGCCCATTAAATTATTAGAAGTTTTATCCGAAAGGTTTTTAATAAATTAAAAGAAAGTAAAAAAATAACCTAACAAATTTATTTACTTTGTAATTTAATTCCTTATGGGTGCCTTAAATTAGATTTCCGATAATTTTCACATTTAAAAATATAAAAAAAGTTTTGTCAGAAAATAAATAAAAAACTTACCTAATTAATGAAGAAACTTTTCTTTATAAATTCTTTTCAATAATAGATTGCGTTCAGAACAAGGTTACGACGGCGATCACGAAGTTAATCCCATTGAAAATAATCTACAAGAAACGATTTCAAATCGCGAAGGTGCGAAAACGAACATGTGATATAACGATATAAGGTCTCAAAAGTGATTCTGATTCTACCGCTCATCAGTCAAGGCCGTCTCAACATAACGAAACAATATCGTCTTCCACAGCGCGAGTTGGCATCGGAACGTAAGAGAAAGTCCTTGCGTGTATCGCTATATCGTTATATCGTCTTCTTCACTCGACGGCTTAAATCAGATTTCTGATGCATCGCTTGGAATGAAAGTTGCTGTATCGGTTTGCCGATATAGGCGTTAAATCGATATATCGATTTATAGCCCAGTCCTACTCACAATATGTAAAAAGATACCCCCAGGAAAAGATACCCTGAAAAGTTAGAATATAATATTTTGTGAAGGCAAATCTAAATCTTGGTGCTCTATCACTTGGAGCTTGTATTATGATTTGGTCCTGCACGAAAATCTATGTTATATTCACCATTTTTGAATAACAATTTTAACATCAGAAATAAGACTGGAAACAATGACTATAGCCATTAAAATTGTTTTTATATTGATAATTCTCAGTTTTTGATAACATAAGTAAAAACAGATCATTCAAAAATACTTTTCTTCCAGACTTTCTTTTTCTATAGTCACGTGAGGTTAAGTGTAAAGTTTAGTAGTAAAAAACATTATGATATAATATGACCTGTGTATATTAGCACATTGTTTACTGGTAAGGCGTTAACTCGTCTTTTCGAACCCTAACATTGTTGACAGATGATGACTTTACACTTGCATTATCTATTTCAACTTATGAAACCAATTTTAAATTTATTAGAGTTTGTTTAAAATGTTTTACTTTACTCCATATTCAATTAGAAAATACTATTCACTGTCATCACTTAATTTCCGTGTTAAATTGCCGGTCAGCAAAGTGGTTCAATTAAAATGTTTTTCTTGACTCCATATTCAATTAGGAAATAATAGTCATTGTAATGACTTAGTTTCCATGTAAGATTGCCAGTCAACAAATTGTTAAAAAAAATCATCTTTCTTATTTCAAGGTTTTATGGCAATAGGGCCTTTTATATGTACTTATGATTATTATGATTCTGAACTTCTTGTGTTAATTTTCTCTGAATTTCTCATTTATGAGTATTCTTGATGTGCTTCTTGAATTTTTATCTTTAGTTTAATATTTGCTTCATATTTGAGCACTAGATTTGTTATATATCTGTTGAAATAAAAAAGTATCTAGTTTGAGGAAATTTTACTAATAATATAACAATAATATGTATATTTTACTTTACCGTTGCCAATTTAAATTTTAAAATTGAATGTTGTAATATTTAGTTAGCAAGTTTATTTTAATTAAAAAAAATTGTTTGCTAATTTTATCTCCAAGATTCAAACTTTTCATTTTTTTGCTAACCATATTTAAATCATTCAATTTTAAATTAGATTCATATTAATGATTTATCCTAAATAAGATAATTTAGTTTTTATTATTATTTTTGAGTTTAATTTATATATTTTATTATTGAAATTGTGTATGTATTTATTATTTCATGTAATATTAAACAGTTTAATATAAATTGATTAATTTAAAAATTTAATTGAATAAAATTAACTTGAATTGTTTTTAAACTGTTAAAATTTTATTTATTTGTTTTGTAGAGGATTTCTTTAGTTAGTAGTTTTGGAGCATCACTATTTCTTGGCAAATATGCCTCAATTGATCTTAGTGATGGATCAGGAATGAATTTATTGGATATAAATGAGAAAGATTGGTCTGATCAGTGTTTAAAGGTAGATATTGAATACATTTCTCAATAATATTTAGTTTTATTTTAGTATGAATATTGGATTTATTTTAGGATGTTAATCAATTTTTGTATTAAAATATGTTGCTCTTTTTAGTCGTGTGCTCCAGACTTACGAGATAAGCTTGGTGTACCTGTACCCTCTTGCACTGTTTTGGTAAATATGTGTTTTTTTTATACATTTTAATATTGTTGATTTTTAAATATTTAATAAATAAGCCATACTTGTAGTCTTAACTTTTAATCAATGATATCATAATCTTTAGAATGTGTCAAGTAAGAAATATTTTAATTAGAAGAAATGTTAATCTTGCTAAAGCCTTTTTTATTAAGCATATTTTTTAGTCTAATAAAATTTTAAAGTTAATACAAAGTACAGAAAAACGTTCAGGAAAGACCACCTCTATAGAACGACCATCTCTATTTGCACCCACTTTTGAGAAACGTACAGTTTTTTCCATAGAGTTTGTGTTGAAGAAATTCTTTAGGAGAGAAAATTAAAACCTCTCCTAGTGGCTGGAAAAGTATCTGCACCAAATGTGGAAAAGGTGAAATAAGGAAGGAAACACGAAAAAATATCAAAATGAAAAATTTAACAAAATAAATAAGCAGATTAAAATATATTTCAAATATTTGTGTGATACTCTTAATTAAAGAGCTCTTTTTTACGATACAAATTCATATCATGTTGTCAGAGTGCACTAAAGATGATGTTATCAATGATTTACTTTTAAGAGTTTAAAGTGAAATTAGAAAAAAAATTTATTTTAGAAAAACCAAGTATCTCAAATAAGCAAACCTGTTCTCACTTTTAAAGCTAACTAATTCTTATGAAATAAAGTTAGAAGCAAATTTAAACAAAAACGTAATTGTTCATTTATTTAAAATAGCTTTATCATTCATAATTGGTATCTTTGTTTTACGCATAATTACATATATCCATTGGGATCATTTTAATAGACGCTAAATTTTATTCATCAATCTGTCTTTTCATAATTACAAACAAAGTGGCATTTCTGCACCAAGAAAATGACTGACTATAATTAAAATAGTTTGCCAAAAATCATGTATCTTTGATAACAATTTTGAAAATAATAGAGGAGAAGACCTCTAAGAACGGCTGACCTCCATCAACGACCATTTCACTGTGGAACGGAGAGTGGTTGCTCGCGAGAGGTTTCACTGTATTCGTGCCCTTTACCAAAGTACAGATATTGAACTAATCCTAAAACTTAATGTTCATTTCTGCCTGATAATATATTTCTCTTTGTACTAGTATTATGTGTAACTTGAGTTCATTTTAAATATCTCTTAGTAATTAAAAAATATTAATAAGTATTCTTTTTGCATTATATACATATATGTATGTATGTGTGTGATGTTAACAGTCATGGTCGAATGTTCAGCCACGCAGACAACAGTTGGAAGGAAAAAATATTTTTATTGAGCTTCACATTGTGTATTCAGATATTTTTCTAGCATTGGCGGAGCTCTCCACTCGCACTCCAAAATCTATATGCTTTAGTTTTTATCCTAGGGAAAGTAGCATATGTACTTTCCTCTGTTTTAGGAGATCTCAGGAAAAAAGGGAAACATTAATAATTATAATTGGTTTATTAAATAGGTTGCGCTATTCCCACAAAGAGCAAAGGGGAAAATGTCTTACTTTTAATCTATACTATTTGTCTAATATTAAAATTGAATTTCAATAATTATTGCAGTTGCATTACGAAGAGAAAAAAAATTAAATGGCATTCAAATAATCAAATTTCAATAATTAAATATAACATTTAGAAGGAAAAAAAATAAATTTAAATATATGAATAGCACATATTTTGCTTTTTTAAACACCATAATAAAATAAAAATTTAAATTTCTCTTCTACAATTAATATAATATACACTGTGATATATAATGCAATAAAAAGAGTGATTCCTTAAATAATTAAAATTATAATCATACTGAATCAAAAGGAAAAAAAAAATATATGATGGTAACACTAAATTTTAATATTATTTAATTTAAACAAATAATATGGTAAACCATTGAATAATAATATCAATAAATTGAAATATTATCAAAGTATAAATATCAATAGCCATAAATTTGTTTGTTTTAATTTCGAGATATGAGCGTGAATGATTAGAAAGCATTCACGTTTAAAAATTTCACCTGGTGAATACCATTAAAAAAATATCAGAGCACGATTTGTCAAATAAGTATAATTGATATAAAATGTGTAAAATATTAATCCACCCAAAGAAGCCTTCCATAGCACTCATCCATTTTTGTTCACAAGATTTCGTCAATAAGCACGATCCACTGAAGTTCACACAGCTCGCTTTGGCCAACATTAAGTGCCACCAAGATGAACTTCTGGAAATGTAGAATCGCTGTCACTTTGAAATAGGCATGAAATCAAAAATATGGAACAGGTCTTTAGAGGCATGGAATTCTCGAAAAGGTGAAGCAAACGAAACATCTTTTTTTTTTCTTAATGTTTTCTCCATAGTCGCTCCATTCCAAGAGTAAACACGACAGTTAGTTAAAAGGGGAATAAACCAATTTTCTTCGTTAAGATGAGTCACAGACTAACGCCGAAAGTGATAGAGAAATTTTGGCAGATTATGCTTTCAATTTCTGGGTAGAACGGGAAAGTGTCGCCAGCCAGGGTCAAGGTTCATCCAAATCCAATTAATTTCGCAGCATTGGCAATAAACTGCTAAGCATTCTCTTCTAGTTTGAAGTTATGACATTTCGCTGTGAAGTCTTCGAACCGTTCGTAAATAGGCTCAAATCTTCCAACATAGTAGAAGTGTGTTCTTTCAGTTAATTTTTCTTTTTTTTTCTGTTTTGAAGAAGCATTTTAGCATTTAATATTATCCTGCGCCCGTTTCATCAGTTCTTATAATCCTGCTCGGCTTGTAAAATGATGCAGTCGGACCGAGCAGGGAAACAGACACAGGATTTTAATGAAATCAGATGTATTTTATTTAGATCATGTTCTTATGGAAGACCAGCGAAAAGTGATGTTAACTCCATTCAGGATCAGTCTTTCTGATATGGAAAATCTTGCAAAAATCCGAAAATGTCTCTATTTAGGGAATAGAGGGAAATCTTAGAAATTACTATTGGTTAATGAGCTTGCTCGAGTGATTCCCATGGCTTAAAAGGGAAAAAAAGATCTTTAAGTAAATTTATGCATAGTTGGGCCAAAAATAGAATTAGAAACAGGATGTGGCTTTTAAAAGTGTGAGAAAGTGTTTTGATTAGGATAATTAATTAGGATAGCATAAAAAGATCAATTGAAGCTTTTTATGTTACATATATATATATAAAAGATAAAATAGCTTTAGAGTATTTTTTCTGATAAATGACGATTTAAAATAAAAATTTACTTTGCTATTTTATTTTGGAGCAAAATATTTTTATTTATTTTTTAAATGTTCAATTTTAAATTCAAATTTCTACATACATTTGGGTAAAATACGTTTAGTTCTCCCAAAGCCTGTTTTTTATTTTGTGTAAGTTGTATAGACTTGAAATTCTGCTTTTCTCATGTATTATATTACGGTATTTTTAATTCCAAACAAGTGATTTTATAACTTTAGTAATACATTTTAAAGTAATTAAATAAGGATAATTTAAATTGTTTTAAAATTTTCTTTTAACACTTCAGATAAAGGAAGAAAAAAACTTAGTTAATAAGCTGAAGTAACATATAAGATGATACAAGTGAGGCACATTATATAAAATAGTGCCCTGTTGCAATAAGTAATTTGTTAAATAACTTTATCTGCTTAATTGAATAAAATATAAAAATTATTATTTATTTTTCCTTTAAGAAAGTAATATGGGCTTTTCCTTATCTTTAAATTTCTATATATCTATTTTTTGAAATTATATTTTATTTATTATTTTTTTAATTTTATCTGTATTTTGATACATTTTTCTAATTTTAATATTTTCTAAAAATGTATAGTTTTATAGCGTTGAACCTGTTTTGACCTGTTTTTAATGTTAAACCTTAATATTAAAAATAATAACTGTTCTAATTTTTATGCGCAATAATAAACTCTAAGTTATAAAAATATTGTTTACAAAAGTAGTTACATTTTCTGTGATTATAAAAAAAATATCAAGAATATTATTATTATTATTTGTTGAATAAAAATTAAAGATGCTCAAGTATAAAAATTTAGTATAAACGTTTAATACTTATAATTACAAAATTATAATGCTTGAGGTTTTTGACTGTTTTTGGTAGTAGATATTTAACAATAGTTTTTTCACTAACCATGAACTTGATATTCTGATAGGCTAGACTACAATTAGTTACATTTGTTTTGAAATTTTATATTTAATTGATTTTAGGGTTCGATTTCTTCTTATTTTGTTGACCGTTATGGGTTTTCTGAAGAATGTAAAGTTGTTGCTTTTACTGGTGATAATCCAGGTAATGTGATTTTAGATTTGTATATTTAAAATAAAGTGACGATTCTAAAAGTAAATTTTTTTCAAATCATGGTGAAAGAAGAACATAGTTTTTTTTTTTTTTTTTGTAAAACAAAAAAGCTTCTACATGGGCTGAAAAAATTTTGTGTTAAATATATATATATATTTTTTAAAAAATCATTGGTCTTAAAGAATCATGAAATGCATGAGATTTTTGCATGAAAATTATATTACAAAGTGTAAAACGATATTTAATTTCATACTCTATAACAGTAACTATATGAAAATTGGAAAATAAAATAACTTATGACAACATTAATACAAAAGAAATTTAATTGCTCGATGTCTACTGTATCAATACTCTAGCTCACCAATATTGTCGGCATAAATTTTATTCCTTCAACAAAGAGCATTTTAGTAAATGATTTCCATTCTATCTCAAAATTCTGCTTGCACAAAAGACTATTATGTATACCAATGTGGTCCAGAAATATAGTGGAACAATCTTATCAGAATGTAATTAATGATATTTCCTAGATTGCTATGTCAACTTTAAACTTGACACATTTGAAGCATATTTTATTTAATGATATCAAGCAAGCAGCATTTAAATGAAAGTAAACCAGGAATTCTTCTTTATAAATAGGTAATTAAAATTCATTTATTATTAAAAAAAAAAGTTTTTTATTACAAATAAATATGTAATGCAAGGGACAATGTTTTGTTTGTTTCAAAAAATCTTACTCTAATTGGAATGAAAAGCAAGTTTCTTAAAGCAAAAGGCACAAACTTTTGGGATAGGCTTTTATTAATTGTTTTAGTGAAGTATTACTCCAAATTTTAGTATAAGAAGTAGTGAACAATGTAATTAAAATTTTTAAATGTAAAATAAATAAAAATATATTGTAGTCTTATAAAAGTTTACCTAAAACCTATCTGAAATATTTGTATGAAACTTTACTATACTATTAAAACAATGTAATAAGATACAATAAATTTTGTTATAGATAGGGTTTTTATTTTAATAATATAAGATTCTTTTTTTAAGTTAAATTTTTAATTTTGCATTGGATAAATGTTGTTAAAATGGAGTTGGATAACGAGACACATACAAGTGATAATTTTTACCAATGTACAAAAATTATTCATGGAATTGTTTATCAAAAAATTGTCATAACATCTACTCTACCCTTTATTTCAGTTTTTGACATTTTTTTGAATTTCTCGAGAAATACTTGTAAAATTATTTTATAACTTTAAAGGTGTTTAGGTCATAAGATTTCTTATACTTATCATTAAAATTTAAAGCTTTCAGAGGTTTGATAGACCATCAATAAATTACAAACACAAAGGGTTTATGAATACTCTCTGTCAGAAAATATAGCAATTGACTTGTAATTTGTATCTCGCATATATTTGTATCTCACATCTAGCATACGGAGTTTTTCACAAATGTCGTTTTGTAGTATTAAAAAAGATTTATAAAAAATAACACTGGATTATAGGGAATCATCCACTATAAAAGTATATTTTCCTTCCTTATACTATCACATTTTGGGTATGAACATTTATAACGTATTATTATTTGTTATTAAATTTTGTCTTATAATACAAAAAGAAATTTGTGAAAAATTCTTACCATTCAGAGCTATATTTCAAAATTTACAAGAACTACTTAGGAAATTGTATGGAACTTCTTAAATTTCAAGGTATTCAAATCTGACTTTTGTTTCAGTAGTTACCAAATACAATTCACAACAAAATTATGAAAAAAGAATTTAACTGTTTAAAAAAAGAATTTAATAAAAAATTAATCCATTTTTTAAATTTTATTGAATATTTTTAAATTTATAGCAAAAAATTTAAGACAAAGTAATTAGTTTTTTTATAAAAATGTCTTTCTCCATAAATATTTTAGCTAGTTTTAAGAAATGCAAAGTGTTTTATGCAATTATTGCATAAAACAACCAAAGTAATCAATACATGTTGCAAGTTTATTGTTATATTTTTAGACAGAATGTTAAGAACACCTTTTTTCCATTCGTAATCTATTGCCGGTCCCTCAAACCTCTGAAAGCTTAAAACTTTATTGATAAGTATGAGAAATCGTATTTCTTGAGAAATTTAAAAATATGTTTAAAGCTGAAAATATCTCTTCAATTAGTGTTGGGTAGTGTAATTCAGCTGATAGTTGGACATTACTACATTTTTATCCTTTAAATTTGAAATTTTTAAATGCTGGTAGTTTTTATCTTTTTTAATTGTGTGGACATCGTTAAATTCAATCTTTTAAAAGTCATGATCAATTTGAATTGGTATTATCTTCAGTATGACCTTTTTATTTGTCATTCAGTTTTTATGAACTTTCTATATTTGTAGTATAAAAATTTTCTGTTATGAAGTGATTGCAGCATATAAAAGTTTCATGCATTGTAGTCTTGCATTAAACTACTTGAATCATGTACTTTAAACTATCAAACTTTTATGAACCTTTTATGTTATCCCAACATTAGAATAATACTAGAAAATATTTACATAAATTTTTTACTTAATCTATGCAATGTAACCTCTAATTTTGTTTCAAGCTTCATGGATAACAGACAGTTATTTGTGATTAGTTAAGTTATGCCAAACAAAAATAAATTAAAAATTTGCCATTTTCTTAAAAAATCTCTTTTAAAATAAAATATGACAAAAGTTCATCCTCAAAGTAAAATTTTAAGTATCTAACTTAAATATTCATTACACTTTCCTTTAAATAATTAATGCAGTTAACAAGTCAATAACAAACTAAGGATTTGGCGAACCAATACTTAGATTTTCAAAACAGAAGTAGTAAGATAAACAGGAATAGCTTAATATTATCTTACATTTACTTTTAATGTCTCAAACTTTCTGAGTAACTTTTATTTGATAAATGTTTTTAAAACTGGTAATTTTATCTATTGGTTTAGTTCAAAATTTAATTGTCAAAAGATTTAATCTTTACAAATTGGACAATGACAGTATTATTGCTAGAATCAGTCCGAGAATACCTTATTTCTTAACAAATATTTTAGAAGAAGTAAATTATTTGTGTAATAAAATATTTTTTCTTCAATTTTTCTTACTTTTTTAAAATAATAAAGTTGCATATTTGATATTGTCGTTTTTGTAAAAAAAAATTATGTGTAGATTTTGCAAGTTTTTCTGTAATTTTTTAATATTTTTATGTGCTGAATGCATGTGTAGCTTAAAGAGAATATTCAATAAAAGTATTATTGAAATTCATGGTTCTGTTGTAATTTTTTAAATTGCTTTCTTAGTTTTTGTGTAATGCAAATATTAATTTGTGCAATTTGATTATTAATAATTATTCAATTAAATACTTTAAAACTTATTCTAATTTTTTTAGAGAGCCTAAATTAGGGCAAAGCAATCATACATTTTCTTTTTAGAACTAAAATTCTGTATTACTACAGAAAAAACTACTGATATTTTTGCAACTGTTGTAAAACCTTACTATAAGTTAACATTTCAGTTTACAGGACACTTAATTTTATTTAACATTGAATAAAATACATCATAAACTACATTACTGGTAAAGGGCAAGTGGTATTACCTTACACAGTTCACCATGTTTTGAAAGCCTTGGGACTGCTAATTTTGCAGACCTATTTCAGCATTTATTTGTTTTTATCATGTATATTTTATATATTTTCAGCTTCATTGGCTGGTACTCAAATGAAAAAAGGTGATATAACTATGAGTTTAGGTACAAGTGATACATTGTTTCTTTGGCTAACTGAACCAAAATCCACTCTAAATGGACACATACTTTATAATCCTATTGACAGCAATCAGTATATGGCTCTATTATGGCAAGTATTTTTATAATGGTTCCAGTAATATCTGATATTATATGTATCTAATAAGTTTTTATTAAATCTTAGTTTCAAAAATGGTTCTTTAACTCGTGAAAGAGTAAGGGATGAATGTGCTGAAGGCTCTTGGCAACTGTTTAATGATCTTTTAGAAAGTACTCCAAGAGGAAATTTTGGCAACATTGGTTGGTAAAATTTTTTTTTGTTTATTTTTTCTGTTTTTAAATAATACCATCATACTTTTCACCTTACAATTAATTTTCTAGGTATGTATTTTGATGCTTTGGAAATTTTTCCTGCTGTTGTTGGAGATTACAAATTTAATAAAAGTAATGGTTTGGTATGTTATTAATTATTATTATTTCTTTAAAGTATGCGTTATATATCATGACTATTATGAAGAATAGAATAGAATTATTTATTAAATTCTCTTTAATTATTATAATATTCAATGATTTAATAATTACTTTAAATAATTGTGATTTTGTAAGATGTCCCATCACTTTCTTCATGTCTCAAGAGCCTCACTAAAAACAAAGCAACTAGTTAATAATAGCCATCGATAAAAATAAGCTATTAGACTAAAACACTAAATTTCTGATTTGAAATAGCTATTTAATAACTTAATCACTAAAGAATTAATAGTCGCTGAGATAAATGAATTCTTGGGATAAACTTATCGATAGCTGCAAATACATTATTAAGCTAATTATACTCGTATTACAAGTAATCCCAATTGATATGTCAATAATGTAGATTTCACAATTTCCACCTCTAGTTATTTTTACAGGGAGATCCAATTAGTTGCATGCAAGCTCATGTTATATTTTTCATTAGAAATATGAAATATCACCAAAATAATTTATTATTTGCCTATCAAATTATTTTTCGTAAAAGTACTACTCAATTAAAGACACCAATTTTTAAAACATGACACCAAGGCTCATGTTTTTAATTTTCTTTTTTTAATTATTTAATNCACATGACCGTTAATGCCGAAGAAACAGGCAATCATTTGTTTCGATGTGCTTCTTCCTCGAATAACTTTTGTTGGTTTTGCCTCATCTTGGAAGACCCATACAGTTGATTGCTGTTTTGTTTCTGGCTCATATGCATAGATCAATGATTCCTCACCTGTGTAGATGTTATACACAGCCTTTGATGCACCTTGAACGTATTTTTCCACGTATTCTTGCACCAATCGACACGAGCCTTTTTTTTAGCGTTTGTCAGATTATGCAGGATCCAAGGCGAAAAAATTTTTTTTACGCTCAAATGTTCATGCAATATTTTATTGATGCTAGTCATACTAATGTCCAAAGACGCCTCTATCTCATGGTATGTCACATGACGATCTTGCTTTATCAGTTCACGCACAGCATCGCTCTTTTCTGGCACAGCAACGGATTTTGGACGACCTGCACGGGATTCGTTCTGGATCGAACATCGACCGCGATTAAATTCGTTATACCAATATTTTACAGTGCTGTAGGATGGCGATTTATCACTGAATAAAGAATTAAGTTCATCGAAGCACTCTTGTCTTGACAATCCACGTCGAAAGTTATGAAAAATAATGGCACGAAAATGTTCACGATTCAATTCCATTTTTTGAAAGAGAAGAACTTTTCAATTTACTGTCAACTACACAAATGAAGCTATAATGGTAAATCGTCTGCTGAATTTATGTTTAAAAATATCAAACTTTCGATTAAAATCGTCTGCGGTCGCCTAGCAACACTTACTGTTGCCAAGGCCAGAAATATAAATAGCAACCCTCGTATTACAAGCAATCCCTATTGATGTGTCAATAATGTAGATTTCACAATTTCCACCTCAAGTTATTTTTACAGGGAGATCCAATTAGTTGCATGCAAGCTCATATTATATTTTTCATTAGAAATATGAAGTATCACCAAAATAATTTCTTATTTGCCTATCAAATTATTTTTCGTAAAAGTACTACTCAATTAAAGACACCAATTTTTAAAACATGACACCAAGGCTCATGTTTTTAATTTTCTTTTTTTAATTATTTAATTTTGCTTCACAGATATTTCTAGTGATGAGCAGTAAAACTAATCTGTGTTATCAGAAACTGAATGTAATGAATTTCAAAACTTCTGAAAAGGAAAAATATAGATGAAGAATAAATTAGAAAAAATGTATTTTTTAAAAAAGGCTGAGTTACAGAGACTTCTACCTAAATCTCTTTCTGGTTTTTTTGCCAATAAAAATATTTTAAACTTTTTCTATGTAGAAGAAATAGCAAAAACCATTAAAACAATGCATTAAAAATATAATTTCTTTTTTTTTCTTTTGTAGTACTTCTCAACTTCTTTCCTTGCAAATTAGTTATTATTTTAATTTAGGTCTGTAATTGTTACAAATTCAAGCTAATTGTAATTTCTTGTATCTCGATAATATGCTTTATTTGGAAGCAGAAGTTAAATGGAAGAGTTTAGCTGAGAAATTTATTTACTTAATTCTTTTTCCATGTAAGTGGCGCATGATGCCACAAGACTGGTGAGGCCTATCAGTTAAGTACCACTGTCTTTGTACTTTTTCAACTGCACTAACCAAAAATGTTTCTTTATTAAACAGTAATTTGCTTCAAGGTTAATTTGGATTAGATTGTTTTCATCCCTGGTACACACATGTTTTAACAACTCTTGTGGGACACACATCACTTTTTTTGCAACAGGTTTATTATTTGTTATGAGACATTTTTCTTCAAAAAGTATTTAATAAGTTTTCTTGCTGTTTGTTTAATTTCCTTTATTAAAAAATAAATGACCTTGAGATGTCCTCTTCAATGATTCCCAAACTTTTTTGCTCATCACTTTTTTTTTTTGAACTAGTCTTTAATTGAAACAATTCTTAAATCCACACTGCATTCATTGTAGAAGTAAATTATGTTTACATTTTTATTAAAAATAAACAATTACTGACAATTTTTTTAAAAATCATAATGCATTCAAAATCATTTAAAACTCCCAGAAAACATTTTATTACTTTTCTAAGAGTGCTAATTATTAAGTTATTTTAAGCAAAAAATGCTTATTTTCGTTTTCGAGTCCTGATTATTCACAAATTGACGTTACGTTTCTTGCTTTTGTTTGAATTTTTGTTATTAAATCCAACAATTTTAGATGGTAAATAACTATGTGAGATCAAAGATAAGTATAATGAAAATGTGGGCTTAATAACGTATTTTTGTAATATTTTAAATTTCAATGGTACCCACTGAAACATTGTTAATAGTTGACGAAATTTTCTAGTTCTAGCAGTATTTTTTAGTTCAGTAAAGAAGATGTTAGCTTGAGTTATGGATGCATCATAAATACAAAATAATTTTCTTCTTTCATTTTCTTTACCTTGTTAATCATAATTATGTTCAGCATTGCAGTAGTCTTTTGAAGGAAATTGTGATCCTAGCATAACTTTTAATTCATTCTTTCAACAACAAAAAATTAAGTTATAAGAAACAATCATGATTAAAGAAATTGATATATTGCAGTTGATTTTATTCACTTAATTTTAATAAACTTTGATCTATGTTATAAGAGTATTGAAATCAAGGGTATGCATTTATTTAGTTCTACACAACAGAATCAGGAATTAAATTTCATAATTATATATATAAAGATCATTTTTCAATATAGCAAAATTCCTATTTACTCAAAGAATAAAATTGTTGAGAATGATATCAACATTATTGTCTATTTGATTATTTAATAAATAATAAAAAATGTGCATTAAAATTTCTTTTCATTTTGCATAATTTTTTTTTTAATTCTTTAGCTTTAGTGAAACAAAAACGCCTAACTAATAATACTCACTGATTGGTAAATTATTGCTGCGTTTTCGGTGATACCAGGGCTCAAAAAAACTCAGAAATTTTACCTGTCCCCTAGGACAGCTTGTCCTGCAATGTACCCTTCCTCCTTTGAAACTAACCTGTAGCTTCTAAGTAAATAAAAATATTTTTTTTTATTTTTATTTCTAATGGCAAAAGAAAATGACAAACTCTTACAGAAACAGTGAACAACAACTAAGAGAAAAAAGTCACTATCTCATTAACAGATGTCGGACACTCCAGTAGCGCCTCACCTTAGAGTCCCCACGCAGAGCCGAGCATCTCAATAGATGGTTCCTGTCCATAAGTTCATTATTCGAGCATAACGGGCGATTTGGGTCAGGGAGAATGCCGATGCGGCAGAGATGGTTTGCCAGGCAATCATGGCCCACCGCAAGTCTGAATTCTGCAACAGCTTTATTGCGGGGCTTATGGGCAATACCCTGTTGTAAGCTATTCCTCCAACCTCGTGAAGGAATATGAGAAGTGAGCAACGCTTTCCAGTTTTGTCTCATAAAATGTTTTTGATATAGAGTTTTGCCGAATGAAAGGATTTAAGAGTGCTAGGCTGTTGAATTAGAGTGCCTTTCTTAGCCAGCATATCGGCCTGTTCATTGCCGTAGATATCGCAATGTCCTGGGATCCATTGGAATGTTATTCGTCGCCCTTCTATCCTCAAACTCTCCAGGAGAACCTGATAAATAAAAATATAATTTCCTCTTATTTATTACAAACATTTATATAAATTGCACAATGAATTAGTTGTTACTAGGATTATGTTATACAGTAATAAAAGAAATACTAGGTTACTAATAGTAACCTAGTATTTCTTTTATGAAATAATTTAAATGACAAAGGTCAAGTTATCTGGAATGTCAATTTATCCGAGAGTTCTGCGTTTTTTAAATGAATCAAATATGACGTTTGCCAGTTCCACAATCAAGCCAATGATTTACAGAGGTTTCTGCTCAGAATTCTGAAAGGGGTATTCCATTTAGGTAGATGGTCATAATTGCGTTTAATGCTTGTTTAAGACCAGTACGTAATGTGTTCTTTTGTAAGTTCATTGCTCGAAACCCCCTTTCAACTGCTGTAGCACTCCCAGACAGAGAAGACATCAATTCCATCATGCAGTATGTTGCTGTATTGTGGGTCATTTTGCTGCATTAGGTCTTTATAAATAGCTTGGGCTCGGAGGGCTGAAGTTTTCTGGTGTTTAACGATGTTATGTATCTTAAATTTTAATGACACCCATTCTTGAGAAAAATTTTCTTTATTTACTCCTTCAAAAAAGCAATCAAAATGTTCAAGTAACATCTGCATGTTTTGGTTGCCAAAAGATATCAAAAGCGGTTTTTCAGATGGCCACTCGGTGAAATCAAATACACGAAAATACAACACAGGGTGACACAGATTAGAGGGTCATTTTAGAAGTGAGGCGCTAGACTCTTGTAAAATAACAAAAATTAAAAATGTATCATGAACATTAACGGGAAAATGGCGGTCCGTACAGATGTCGGATTCGAGAAATTTGTTGCCACGGGGAATTTTTGACCACCTCTGGCGGACGGGCGATTTTTCGAGCCCTGGGTGATACCAAACAATTAATCTGAGATATTTTCATCTAATTTAATTAAACTTGTTTCATTAGAAATGTATAATCCATTAATTTTTTTTATTTTGGATTTCTTCTTTGCAATCATTGACGAATAGTTTGCAGGAATAAGGAGAAAAGTTAACAATAATCATAATTTGTAAATACTATATTAAAGAAAAAGGAATTAAAATTTATAATAAAAATAAATAACTATAGCAATATTCTTATTTACTCAAAGAATATTATTGAGAATTGATATGAGCATTAATGTACATTTAAATATTCAATACATAGTAAAAAAAAAGAAGAAATAAACTGCATTAGTAAATGTTTACTTTAAAAAATATTTTTTTAAGAAATTATAAAAGCTTATTATTAAATTATAAAACTCTAGTAAAAAAAGGCAAATCTAAATTTCATTACCTGAATATTTTAACATTAGCACGTAGGTTATAACAATGATGGATAGATATTTTTCAATGGACTAGATTTATGAAAACACTGATTTTTTGATGCATTACTGAATAATAAAATTATCAACTCTATATCTAAATGTATACTATTTCTATTCAATCAGTGACTGATTTTAATTAAGTAATTAGGCTGTAAGTGAGCATTATTTTAACTTAAATATAAGCTAAATAAAATATTTTCTATAAGCTTTAACACCACTGATTTCATCCGAAAAGAAATGTTGTGAAAAGCTGAATAATCATTTCTTCAGCTATTTTAGTAATAAATAAACAGTTAGAAGTTTTTAAAATCTTTCTTCCATATTGCACACACTCTCAAAGCCGTCAATTTAATTTACAAAATTTTTATCATTAACATACAAGGGTTGTCCATATGATATAAGTGATATTAAAAGTAAAAGAACATTGAAACAGCCTTAGCAGATAGAGGCGGCACATTTTCATTCAGCACATGTGACCTCATAACCAATTAGGGATCGTTTTTTTCTGCATAACTTGAGGAGGCCTTTTTGGGCAATTTAAATGTTTAATAATGAAAGAAATAAACGTTTAAGGAAAAAACAATTAGATATTCGGTTTCAGGAGATAATTTCCACTAAGTTAGGTTTGAAAATAAATAAAAAAATTAGGAGATGCTGTAATTGTCTATTATAGACAATCTACATTTTTCTAAAATGCTCTAAAATTAAACAGAAATTAAATTAGCTTTAAAGATATCTTTAAGCATTTGTAAGCATGTGTTTATCTTTGCATTGAAATTTTTGGGAGAAAATTAATTAAAAATGTTATTTTTACAAATAACTAAGTGAAGTATTATTTTTTAAGATGCAAGAAGAAAACCACTTATGTGATAAAAAAGTGAAATTAATATTTTTAAGTTACAAATGAAATTAATAGGTCCAGGGTTATAATTCTCACGTTCTTAAAGAGATAAATTAAAAAGTTAAAATTATCTAGGCAATTATTCTACAAATTTAGCCACATTCAAATTTAGAAGTAAAATTTGTGATCTGTGTCTTTAAAATGTGATCTTAAACAAAGAATGTTGTAAAAACTAGTTGAGCTACTTTGATAATAAAAAAAATCTGTATATTACTTTTTGATCAGCTGTACATGAAATAAATGATGCATTCTTTGAACTTCTTTAAATTGTTTCCCTGTTTCTGAAACTGTTAGTTACTTCTACTAAGAGATTGGTGGTTATTAATATTAAAATTTTTTTTGTTTCATTTGGAATTTATTTACAATTTTCTATGATTTATCAAAATTTTTACTTCTCTTATTGAAATTTTCCAGCTGAAGATAAGTGGATTAATTTTAGTAACAGTAAATAGTATTTTGTTATTATTACTAAAATTATCAATGCTGTAAAGGTACTCTTTGCTGTTACAAATAAAAGTATTTTATTATTTATAACACTAAATATTATTTTTACAGAATTAATGAATATTGAATGTATTTTTTACTTGTTTTAGAAATATAGTTCACTATTTCCACACGTTTATCTCAGCCTATATGGCTCAGTCTTTTTCAGTGGAATTATTATATTTTTTTAATAATATTGTACAAAATAGTATCCTTATACTATTGTTTTGCTTTTTTAGGTCCCTCGTTTTTCAAAGGAGGTTGAAGTACGTGCATTAGTTGAAGGTCAGTTTCTAGCAAAGCGAATACATGCTGAAGATCTTGGTGTTACAATGGGTATAAGCGTTATTCTATTTTACCTTGTAATCTGAGAAATTTAAGTGGATTTTTATATATATATTATTTTATATATAAACACTTTCTTCTTTAGAACTGTTTTATACAAAAAACAATCACTCTTCTCAATGATACAATTAGTATTAATTTTTAAAAAAAACATGTTTCAATCATTTTTGAAATGGATACAAAGCAAATTTTCTAGAAAAGTCCTAACTAACATGCATTTACTTTCTAAATTACAGACGTTAAAAAAATTAAATTTATCTTAATCATATTGTACTGACTTGATTCTTTTTTTTTCCAAATAGTAAAATACTTTATAAAACCTCATAATGTATTTTTAAAATGTAACTTAATTGATATGTTCAAAATTACATGCTTCTCATTTTGAGTATTGTTTGCTTCTTAGATTCCTCTTCAAAAATTATAGCTACAGGAGGAGCGTCAACAAATAAATCTTTAACTCAAGTAAAGAAAATTTCACTTTTTAAAGTAGCTTTTAATATACAAACCAATATAAAATTTTATTCAAACTTACATTATTAAGTAATTTTTTTATTTCCCAAATTATATTTAGGTATTATCAGATGTATTTAATTCACCTGTCTACACATTAGAAAATGCAAATTCTGCTTGTTTTGGATCAGCTTTACGTGCAAAGCATGGTATGATTTTATTTGTTTATTGCTCAACTATTATATGACTACATAAAATATTTCATAAATATTATATTCTTTTTATAGGATGAATGTTTATTCATTGGTTAACAAAAAACAATTGCTAATAATTGTTATTTTTTTTATTGAACAAAATTATAAATAAAAGTTCTTTTTCTATTAGCATATTTTTGGGTTCTTAAAATGCTAAGCAACTAGCAGAACAAGTTTAACATTATGGAAATGAAACTTTTTCAGAAATTAAATTTTAGAATTGCCTTTTTTTCCCTATTTTCCTGATAATTTGCATGTTTTGTTGTGAGTGATTTAGCAACTATCTATGTAAAATTAAGTCAATTTTACCTTACTCTTGTGAATTATTTAATTCAAATGACTCAAATTTATTGTTAGATGGAAATAACTTTCTAGAAACTTTGAAAAATATTTCTTCATTGTCTGGCATGAACACCTAATCTTAAAGATTTTCGTGAAACAAATGTAAATTTATTATTTTTTTTCTAACTGTAACTTATTTTTGAGGAATTTGGACTTGCCTTTATTTGGTGAATCTGATATAATACTTATTTTATATATGTGTAAAAATAGTTGTAATTTCCTATATTTATTATATGCATCAGTTTTAAACACCTACAAATGTCATTAACAAACAACATATTTTTCCGTAGCTATGTTGTAGAAATCATGCCAGAAAAATTTCAAGAAATAGAAAAGCTAAAAATATTTTTTTTTAATTTAGATAGATTCCATAATATTTATTGATTGGTCATTCTGAGTTAATTAGAAATACTGTTTTAAGAAATGAAAACATAATTGTTTTATTGCAAGCATTTATGTGCATAATTATGAAGAAAATTCCCAGTTGAAATAGTTTGCTTTAATTTAGCTTTAGTAATTTTTTTAAAAATTTTATTTTTGTCACTTTCCTGATGTTCCTTATACTGTGTTTCATAATACGATTTTATTATTGTTTTCAAAAAATATTTTAATGGTCTTGTCAGAAAAAATTTTGTATTTTAAGATGCATAAAATCTTAATCTTTTAAAATCATATAATTTGTTTTAATCTGAACCCTGGATAATTCCTAAACATAAATTGTGACTTGGCCATAGTAATGATGATACTATGATGTACAGTTGTTTGGGAGTTGACTCAGTATATAAATATAAATGCAATTCATTAAAATTCTGTATTATACTTCCTACTATTTTATGGAACTTGATAGTTCATAAGTATTATTCAACTTTTTTAAAAACCTTATATTTTGTAAACCTTATATATTGTCTTACCTTATATTTTGTGTATAATTAAACTAATGTATTTTCAGGACTTCTTGGAGAAGATTTTTGTTTCCATGATATGTTTTGTGAGCCACTTGGCATTCATTTAAGTGCCTCACCTTCTAAAGATGCTGCTCAAGTAATTATATGATTTTTTTTTGTTCAAAATAATTCTTTAAATACTTTTTTTATGATTTAAAATTCTACTTAGAATTTTGTTGTTCATTGAAGGTTTATGGATCAATGGCTGCTCGATACAGGATTCTTCAAGAAAAAGTATTGAAATTGCAGAACTCTTGACTTATGAGTAGATTAAAAGCATTTTTACTGTGTGCAATTTGTTATTCTCCATGTTGATATGCTTTATAGTTTTTGAGAAATGAATACTATTTTATTATCTATTTTAGATTTTTTACTGTTATTACAAGTTCAATATTTTTAATGACAATCTTATATAAACAATGTCTGAATTAAATATACAAATGTTACTATTTTTTCTATATGTCTTAAAATTCCATGTTGTAGTAATAAATAGTCACTGTTTTAAATATTTATTATAAGATTTCTTATGTTTTTTTTAATAAAATGAATACAAGTTCATCTTTATAAATGTTTTAATTATGAGATATATACTTTTAAAAAGTCTTTTAAACTAAAGAATATTTATTTGCTAATTAAAAATGTCTATAATACTAAATATGAAATCTAATTAAATGAAGAAGAAAAAGATGTAACTATTTACAAATTGTACATTTTGAAATACCATAGAGGGCTTGATTAAAAATATTAAGAGTTAAAAAGACATATTTGATACCTTGTACATACTTATTGCTTTTGAATGAGATAAGTTAAGTGTAAAATACTCTTACAACCACTGGAACCTTTTTAATAATAAAACTTTGGACGAGTAATACTCCTACCTATCTACTATAATGTACTGTATTTCCTATAATAAGTGCTGTGTAATGAAGAACTAAAGTATGATTTTCAAAAAAATTTTTTTTTCATTGAATAGCTTTTTATCTATACTCACAACAAAGCTGACCATTACTAAGGCTATGTTAGCCCCTTAACATAATTTTCATAGAGTTTTACCATGTAAAGATTTTAATTTCTAAATTTGGTGACATTTTAAAATTAAAAGTGATGCATGTTAAATATACGTATTTAGAATATTATACCTTTACTAAATAATAGTGACTATTTCTTATATTTAAATTCATTACAAGCTGCACTTTTTAGTAATAAATTTTAAACTGCGAACTAAATAATTTTTGAACAAATAGAAAAGTGACATTTCTTTCAATAATAAATACTGAATTACTCTGATACTGTGCCTATATAAACAATGTGCCTATATATACAATGTATGAAACAATAATAATCAAAATTATTGTTTGTTTATCGCCTGCAATAAAGCATTTGTGGAAGGAAAAAAATTTAAATTAGTAAAATTAATTATCAAATATTGATGTGTGAGGTGTCAAACCAAGGTTGCAAAAAAAAATTTTTTTTTCAAATATGTATATATTTTATCTTATTATTAACTAGCTTAGTAAAATAAGTAAGTCAAGCTGGTTTTAATTTTTATTTTCAATGTGCACTTTTGAAGTTTTTTCATAGGATAAATTTAAAAAAAATTTGAAGAGAATAAAATTCTTTTTGTTTCTTATACACTAACTATCAAGCATCATACTCAAAACAAATTATTATGCCAATGAGTTAACTTAAATGAACATTATACAGTTAATTTTTGAATAATTGCAAATTTAGTATAGTAACTGCCATTAATAAATTGAGAACAAGAATTGTTTTATACTTATTTTTTTATACTTTATATGCTTGCTGCATTCTAAATTGCTATAATGGATAAATGAAGGACTGCTCAAAGAAATTTATGTAATGGTTAACTTTGAAAATTTTTAACGGTTAGTTAAATTTTTTCTCAAATTTAGCTTACCTCTTTCATTTATCACTTTTTAATTATACATATATTCTTTTTATGAAGTTCTAAATTGTAGAACAAGTTGTGATGATCTTACATTACATTAAAATTTGTTTAATTGAAATATAAATTTAAAAGCTGTATGAAATCCAATGTTTTGAAAATTATAAGACCACTTGTTGCTTTACACAATTTTTATAAAAATATTGTTGATTGTTATACTTTATAATGACGTTGATTATTTATTTCATCACAAAAAGTTTTTTTTAAGTGATTTTGAATTAACTTATCCTCACACAAGTTAATTTACTTTGTTTTATTGAATAAAGGAAGAAACTTTTTTGTTTTTACATAGATTTAATCAGCAATTGTGCTTAACAAATTCACAATAACATTTTATATGAACTATCCATTTTTCTAATAAGTGATTCAGTTACAAACTTCACTTTCGCAGAAAAAAATCAATAACATATCAATGTACAAAGTTTTTCTCATCTTCATCTACATTTTCTAATTACAATTTTTATTTGCATAATATTTATGTGTTTTTTAAGTCACAATTAAAATACTTTATAACATGGTTTATTCTCACTTTTCCTTTTCTTCTCAATTTTTCTTTAAGAATCGCAGCAGATTTTGCAAATTCTGCGGATTTCTGGATTTATAACTGAAATCAATGGTTTACAATAAAATATATATTATAGTTAATTTGTTATTGCCAAATAATCTATTATACTTTTAAAATACTTTTTCCTAAAATGTAAAATTTTTAACTCAGATTGTTGTTTTTGATGTTGATATATTTTAGTTTGTACATGTTAAATTTTTGAGTTGAAATTTAAGAACAAATGATTTGAAAATTTGTTGATTAAGAATATTATATTGTTGTAAACATTTCTATTTTTTTTGTAAAATGAAATTATTCTCAGCTATTACTCTGATCATTTTATTTTAAATAAAATATTAAATTTTAATTTTCTTCATTTGATTTTTCCCCTTGTAGTAACAAAAGCATTAACTTTTATGATTGATTGAATATTCTAATATTTAATATTTTGTTTATTTTCATATGAAAAAAAACTTAGATAAGCAAATAGTTATTATTTTTATCAAGTTGAAGTAACTTTTTTTTTTAATTTAAACTTTCTTTCTCATCAGAAAATTTCCTTTTGTGTTTTTTTCATTTCTATTATTTCATTTCATTTCATTGACTATTGTGGTAAATAAAGGTAATGATAAAACAGGGACATTCTTATACTACTTTAACAAAATTTTAAATACATTTTTATGCATACTTTAGGAAAAGTTGAAAAAATATCCATATTTTTGTTTGACAAAAACACTTCTTACAAAATTATATATTAATCAATGTTGCTAGTAAAGAGAAATGTTTAAGTTCTGTTATGTCCTAATAAATATTTTGTTACATCATTGATATTTTATTTCGCAACAATTTTTGTTTGAGATGAATTCTTTGACTGAAATATTTGATAGAAGCTCCGTAAAATATGATTTATTATTTTATCCCATTTCTTGAAAAATAATAAATATTTCCAAAAGAATCTTTTTAGTATTTTTGTGCAGATCGAAAGTGTAGTTATTAAAAAATTATTATAAAAGCTCATGTTTTACTTTTGTTATTTTTTTAAGAATTTATTATATAATATTGAAATGTTATCATTGATTAATAATTTCTACTGAATATTTTGTTTTTCAATGAATTAGTGATTTCACATCCTGAGTTATTTATCTATTCTTTTTATTGCATTGTACAATGCCTGGTGAAAACTTAAGTAATTTTGATAATTTAATGTAGTTCAATTTTTCTGAAAGATTATCAAGTTTTTCCATTAGAATTTGTTTTTAGAATTCATGTGCTGATCTGAATATAAAAAATCTTTGTATTTTACTTTTTTTATTTTGTGCCAAAAGTTTAAACAGGCTCTCTCTTAATTTAGTTTAGTGCCATTAATCTACTTAAAGAATATATTTGGATGTAATAATATTTCCTTCAAAATTAACATGATTTTCCTTTAAGCAGATACATTCTATTATATGAGGTTTCTTTCTCATACCACAACTATTCAAGTGAAATCTTTGTATTTATCAACTAAAATATTTTTTATTCTTTTGAAGTTTTTTTTTTATGTTATTACCCATACTCCAAATATCATTGCTATAAATATTTTCATTGCTATAAATATTAGAAATCATATGCATTAAAAATGTGCCTATCTTTAACAAATATTTTTGCGAAAGCAAGTTGCATAAAAATTGAGTAATATAAGTGTTGTCAATCTCTTTCAAGTTAAACTTGAAAATTTTTGTAATTTTTTTACTGCATTTTATGAATTTTTTTCTGAATGTTTAAAGAATTCATGAACTCTATCATGTTTTTGCAGTCTATCGGAGGAAGTTATAAATTCTAGCAAAATACAGTTGTTGCATAATAAAATTGTGTTACAGTTTTTAATTTGCATTTTGCAGAACTAATATCTAATGTGTTTTTTAATTATAATGGCCTCATGATTAAAAGAGTATTTTTACTGACTCTTATAAATCATCCATAGAAGGAAAATTTGGTACTCCAATAAAAACACCGCATTAAATGCGTACACAAAAATCTTTTCAATTTGTGCCAGAATTTAGCACTCTCAGGTTGTCTGCAAAAAAGAAGTACACATTCCTTATACTTACATTTTTTTCTTGACTGTTGCATTCCTGTTTGAAGATGAGCAATGTATTATTTTATATTCTAAATTAGAAATATGTTACTTAAAATTGCATATTTCATTGCAATAGTATTTTAATGTGTATTTATCCTTATAAAAATAATAAAAAATGTTTATCTTTCTTGTTTAGTGATCTATATGTGCAGTATTCAAAAAGTTATTGTTTTTAAGACTTCACTTTGAGTTGAATGTAAGAAAAGTATGCAAGGAATATGTAAAAGTTGCCTTTAATTTCTAAAATTATAACATTCCAGCTTATTAGATTTAAAATGTGATATTTTATGCTCATATTTGTAAGTGTCATTATATTATATGACTTGTAAATTTCATAATTTTGCTATTCCATATGATCATGTAAAATAAAATTTATTATTAAAAGATATATTTTTTAAGTGTTGTTTTTTTATTGATTTTTATGATTCTTATTTTTTAAGGTACTGAGTGAAAGTTATTTTTGTTATTGCTATAATTTTCAGCAAAACCAGCTTATTTTTCCCTAACTTACATATTTTTACATACTTGGAACTTTAATTTAAAGTTGTGTTATCTTAGCTGTAAGAAAGTAATAATGAGGAGTCAATAATATTGTACTTGTGTCAATGTTTGAGACTTAAAAGCATCACATGTCCTCCTGAAAGTCAACATTTTGCTGATGGCATAGTTTGTTCAAAAATTAATTATCTGGTAAAAGTAAATCGATTCAAGAAAACTTTTTTTTAAATAAAATAATTCAATATTTTCCTACAAAAATGGGTAACAAGTAAAATACATTATAAAAAAAGTCTATTTATTCCTATTCGATTATTTCATATGAGCATGTAACAAAAATGATCAGACAGTATAAATGAAGTGATCCATCTTATTTCCTAAAATTGAGTTGATTTTTTTTCTATTTATTCATTTAGCATTTCTTTTTCTGACTTCAAAACTTAGATTTTGAGGAATTACGGATTACATAGAAAATTATTCCCAATTGTTTTGTAAAATGCACAGTGCCACACTTGTCACTATATCATACTTGTCAAGAAACCAAAAAAAAGTGTTATATTTCAAAATGCAATTATATAAGAGTTATTCAAAATAGCAAAATGTTTGCATGGAACTACTTTAAATAAAAAAATTTAAAAATGATAACAACATGCACTTACTTTTTCTTCTATAGTTATTTTCACCTGCAATCTTTTGAGAATAAAAATTACTTTTTCCTAGGTAGTATAGGAGTAATCTCAATCCAGAAATTAATCTTCAGTTCAGGTGTCCTAATATGAAAATAATTTTTGCACCTTTACTTTGAATGAAGTCCCAGAAAACACTATTCATTTGTTTTTAACTATAAAAAAAAACTAATGCTTTTCAGGAATTCTAAAGAATAGAAAAATTTTACTTGGTTAATTTAAATTTTCTGGAAAGATGAAAAAAAGGGGATATATCTGATAGAACATAAAATTTCAATATTGTTTCATGTGTACTAAAACATTCATTGTGATGCATGGACTCTGGTGCTCTTCCAATATGCCTTTTGTTTAATCAAGAACGAATTTTCTTTTGTATGTAGTTATTTTATTTAGTATAATTCTTTATGATATTGAAATCGACTGTGCATCAAATTTTTTGAATCGAAACATCTTTTTATTCACAGATTTTTAAATAGTGGCTATTTTTGAGAATGAGGAATTTTGTAAAAATTTGTCTAAAAATATTTTTTTTCTACATGTATTTAGAGATCTTATAATATATAAAAACGAATTTATTTTGACAATATGCATTTATTTTGATATTATTCAATATTTTTTAACCAAATTTAAATTACTAGTTAATAATATAAATTATTCAAAACAAAATGCTAGTACAGCAAATTATGGTTACTCTATTTTTTAGGTATTTGATCATGGCAGAATGATAACAAGCGTTAATGTAGTTTTTGTTGCATGTAGAGTCTTATTTTTAATCTTATTATTATCTTTTATTAATATTTATCTTCTATTTAACATTTACTTAATTAAAAACTATGATTGTATTAACTAGAATACTATATAAAACAATTAATGCATGCAAAAAATCTTACAATTTGCTGAAAAATTACCAACTTATCCATTACCATTTGCAAAAACACAGTTTATATTTTATTTACATTTTTTTGTCAACTTTTATGATAGTGTATGTATATATGCTTATTATTAATTTACGTAAAAATCAAAAATAATATTGTTATTCTAAAGTGTTATAAGTAAACTGGTCTATACATTGCAATAAGAAAAATTTTAAATTTCTAACCTAATGGTTTGATCCCAGATAGGAAATAGAAAATTTTAAGATTTAGAACTTTAAGCTTTTTACAAGAGTTACAAATAATTTGTAACCCTTTATTTATTTTTTCGTTCTTAAATAACATCTACCCTGATTAAGTACAAATTTTTTTTTTTAATTTGTAATAATTATTTCTATCTGCTATATTGAATTTATTTAGAGTAATAAACTGAACACTATTATTAGGTTAAATAAAATTGCAAGATGCATTTCTCAAAATAAAAAAGACACAATTTTTTTAAAAATATTAAAAAAAAACTATAAAATACAAGAACAAATTGTTTTTCTTTTTGTTTATACCTTATGTAGTTTAAGAATTTAAAGTGTGGCATAAATAAAGTGCAATACTTAAAGAATATAAATGCAATATGATCTTTAAATTTTTCTTTTTTGAAATTTAAATAATGCTAAAATAGCAAATTTTGATTTAAAATTTGCTGATTTAGTGACAATAAATAAATTATAGACAGTGATTTTTAAAAATTACTAAGAAAAATTTTAAACATGAATTCTAGGAAGATTATTTCTAACAAGTTTACGTCTCCGTTCTACTCGAAATTGTTTAAATATGTAATCTTTTTATTGATTCCAAATTTATTCTAGATATATTTTGGGATATTCTTTAGGCGAACTTCGCCTGAGTTTATTTTATCAATAAATGAAAGGAATAAGTTTAAATAATAGTTTAATTGCTCCTCTTTTTTAGCAATCAAGCAATAAAATGTTTCATTCAAACATATTTTAATTGGGGAAATAACAGAATTAGAGGTTGGTCATTAGAGCATTAGCATTCCTGTCTTCTTATAATAAAATGTAAGAAAAATATGCACTCATTATTTCTGTATAAAATATGTTAACCCTCTGGTTGCGTAACTTTTTTTTTAAAAAAAAATAGTATTAGAAATTGTATGTTTTTTAATTACATATTTCAAATATACAAATATTTTAGAGTTAAAATATTAAAAAAAAATTTCTGTAAAAAAAAAAATTTTTTTTTCAAAATATAGATTATTGTTATAAAAATTACAAATGCTGAAGATGGAAAATTAAAAATAATCAAGTAAAAGCAAAATTTTGAAAATTAATTTTCGTTAAATTAGGATTTATTATAAGAAATACAAAGGTAAAACTTATATACCGTCATTCGGGGCTACTTTGTGCAAATTCGAATTTGGCATTTTTCAAGTGCTGCTATTCAGTATTATGTGTATTTCACGTTAAAAATTTGTGGAGTTTGAAGATAGAAGTCTCTTCTATAACTACAAAAAAATTTTCGAATTTTAAAACAATCTCAGAGTGTGTTTCGTTTATCCAATGTCAACAACTTTCCGAGGACGTCGGATGTCGAAAAGTGTGCGTGGAAACTTTAGCTGTGAAATGCAAAGACGTTGATAAAACAATTGTCGTAAGTGCAAAACTTTTTATTTATATATTAATAAACAATTATGTCATGCTAACGTTAAAAAAATTTGAAAATTAATAAAAAATAAACGGAAAATGAAAAAAAATGCACTTTGGGGCTACTTTGTGCAAAGTAGCCCCAAACACTTTAGAAAGCCCCAAACACTTTAGCATTACACTTTAGAAAAGCTGCAACAATGTTTGCAAGCAGTTGCTGGTGGTATGTCGATTGCAGAAGCTTCTCGGAAGTACAAAATCCACAGAAATACTATCTCTAATAAAATTCACAAGAAACACGTGAAACTTCCTGGTAAACTATTATTTTTCTTTTCAAACGATTTAACACATAAAAATATATTTTATGGGACATCAGGTGATTTTGACAAAAACTGAAGAGCATGTTCATTCAAGGATGTTATGATCAAATTCAACAATATTATAAACGCTAATGGCCGGCCAGGTGGCCGAGCGGTTAGCGTGCCTGACTGCGAAGCCATAGGCTGCGGGTTCGAATCCCGCTCTGGGCATGGATGTTTCTCTCTCTCTTTGTGCTGTTCTCTGTTGTGTGTGTGTATGATGTGTGAATGTGGCCCACCCTATAAACGGGTTTGTGGCAGTGTGGCGTGGGCAATGTTGCTCGCCTCCGTGACTTTGGTTCACAGGTGCCCACTGGGTAACGCGAAATGAGCAACAATTCTGGCATAGTATAGGCAAAGATTCAAAATCAGTGCCTGCCATTGGAATTGGAAAAAATAAATAAATAAATAAATGCTAATGAATATGTAATAATTATTATTTTTAAAGTTTCACCCATTTCAATGTTTAAAAATATATATGGTTTCCTTTTGTTTAAACTCAAATGTTTTGAAATAAACATTCTTTTTAAGAAAAAATTCTTCAAAAAAAATTTTTTTTTAACGCTGAAAATTATTTTCAAACTAATATCTTTACATATCTTGATGTTTTCATCTTTAAAAATGCCAACAATTAACTTTTTTAACAATTTTATATCAATATTTTACTAAAAACATGATTATTAAACTGAATTCCTATCGCTGCACAAAGTAGCCCCATTTGGGGGCTACTTTGTGCAAGGTATGTTTTGACTTATTACTCGTAAATATTACATACAAATAATGCCAATATTTATCAAATTCACTCGTCTGAGTCCAGTTATGAATATAATATCGATAAATTTTACTAAAGTTTGAATTAACATAGTTTCATCTACAACTCGTTCA